TAACAGGCACCCTGGCATAAGATAACATAAGATCCCCAAATTCTGCCCTGGCTAAGGGACATAACTCAGTTTGACAACGTAGGCCCTGAATATGGATGTGAAACTATTTTTCCTGCTTTACCTCGTTCCACATGTAGAACTCACACTCATTTGACTCTGTCTCCTGCAGATTTCTACATCTACTATTTCTTATCTATGGCAGATAGCCACAAGGTAATGAGTCACGAAAAAGTTAGATTGTGTTTTAATTGTGTTTTAAAACCTACTAGCAGGTAGAAAGTGCTTCCTCAGCCTGACACTGAAATAATGAACAAACTGAACCATGAGAACAAAATGTCCTTATTACATCGACTCATCATACATGATTTCACAGCTGGGGTGACATCATTTCGGATAAAATGTCATGTGAACGAGTGAGTGAGAATGGTTTTACACCGCTTTTTAGCAATATTACAGCAATATTACATTAGGGGTTTCACATTGTAACCACGTGGGTAATCGAACCCAGGTTTTCGGTTAATGAACTAACGCTTTAACCACTAGGCTACCCACAATGTGATAAGACTGGCAACAAAAACAAAACAAAAGTTTGAATAATGCACAGTATGCACATCTCATTCTTGGGTACCAGTTCGGAATAAAGTCCTATTTCGTATATATATTGTATGGAAAAATGGCATGGTATCGCTTTAGAAAACATAACATTTTTCTTCACAGCAAAATATAAAGGACACTTTCCCTGTGAACATGAGCGACCCATTTTACCAATGCAAGTGGTAAAGTTACTAAGATAAACAATTCCACAGATACTATTCAAAAAACATTAAAGAACATCCGATTGTTTTGTATCAGTATTGTTAATCTGTCATGCTGTGACACTGTCTAACTTGTTTTGTGTAGCATACATTGCAAAAATATCCTTAAGTAGTCTGGAAACAACCATTAGCTGAACAGAATCTGAAACACTCTGAACACTAGAGAAAACCAGGAAATGAAACTTCACAAGATATATGAAAGGATATTGTTACAACAATAGAACAATTACATGTTAGTTAATTTACTTCGGCCATACATAAGACGTCATTCACTGAAACATATAGGCATTAGTAGCATGTCCATCAAATGTACAAGTACAACCTTTCAACAATATTCGCCATCTCAGTAATTACCATAGTAACAAGAAAATTTAGCATACAAAAATAAGGCACACCTACATTTGAAAACTGTTGTCAAAAGACATGCAATTGAAATATATACACGAAATGGAGAATATATTATAATCTTAGCATTAATAAACATTCATGCATTACAAATGAATTCATAGCTCACATTAGTATTATACCAAAATAATTTGTACAAGCATAACATTAAAAACATAGAAGAAATGCCATACAAGCATACTTGCAGGAAAATCCAAGTTTATAAGATAGAGGTCAGTACAGCAAACCACAGCCATTAGGGTGGGTGACAGTTTAAAGCAACTTTCAACTGGCGTGTTGAACAGAATGTCTGTTATATCATGGCGTGTTGAACAGTATGTCTGTTATATCATGGCATGTTGAACAGTATGTCTGTTATATCATGGCGTGTTGAACAGTATGTCTGTTATATCATGGCATGTTGAACAGTATGTCTGTTATATCATGGCATGTTGAACAGTATGTCTGTTATATCATGGCGTGTTGAACAGTATGTTGAACAGTATGTCTGTTATATCATGGCATGTTGAACAGTATGTCTGTTATATCGTGGCATGTTGAACAGTATGTTGATTATGTCATGATGTGTTGAACGGTATGTCTGTTATATCATGGCGTGTTGAACAGTATGTCTGTTATATCATGGCATGTTGAACAGTATGTCTGTTATATCATGGCGTGTTGAACAGTATGTCTGTTATATCATGGCATGTTGAACAGTATGTCTGTTATATCATGGCGTGTTGAACAGTATGTTGATTATGTCATGATGTGTTGAACAGAAGAGTCAAATACTCTTCGGTCAAACTTTGATGAGCTGAATTTACCGTTGTCTTAAATTAAAAGCTTGATTACAGCATATTCCTCATTGAGTCAACATTTTGTGGTTGTATTAAACCGTGGATAACTCAAAGTATTTATACAGATCTTTAATTTTGACACAACATTGTTAGACGGTATTTCAATCATATCATGGTGTGTTAAACAGTATTTAAGTCACATCATGTTACTAGCAAACAAGGATAAGTTGGACCGGTGCAGAGAACGCTTTTACGAGAGGTAGGCGGTGCACGGCAATGAGCAAACCCATCTGGTTTGTGAAAGGTAGAGCAGATGTAGACTAGTGCTCATCCATTGCATGAAGATGAAATTGATTCCGCGCGTAGCTAAACACGCCTTGCTCATTAGACCCTCACGTCAGTGTAGCAACTCGCACCACACTTGATCGTGGACAACCTAGTAACAATGGCAAACGCCATTGGGCGGCACTCATACATGCTAATACGGGTCAATTGTCAGGTCAGTGCTCAACTTGGCCTTGTTTGCCAGTAGTTAAACCTGGAAGGCCCAAAACATTGCAGGTTACTTTTATTTGACGACATTTGACACTGACATTAAATAACAGCACATTTAGTTCAGGAAAGAGGACAGCTAACCAGCTTAAACGTCAGGGCGATGAATGACATCATTTGGTTGTGATGTCATACTTACCAATGACATCATAATGGCAAAATACTGTGATGCTATTTCACTGAAGCAATACCTGCTGTTTTGATGATAAGTAGTTTTTGTTGATATTTTGATAGTATTCATCTTGATAAACTTCATCCCAACCCTTTAAAACACCAACTGACAATACTGAGGGATCATGTGTTATGTATCAATGGCACATCCAAGCTTTTAACATTCAAGTGCGTCATTCTACGAAAATATCTGAGAAACTAGACTTGTTATCATCTGGACACCAAAATATCTCAATTTCTCCTCTGAAACAAAAATGTATACTTTATATAATCATAACAAGCTCTAAAAGATATTCATCATAAAGATCTATATTAAAATAAGATGTTGCACTAGATGGATGTCAAGCTGAACACTTTTGTTATTTACATTGCACATGAAAGCATATACATAGAGTGTATACAACAGCACAAAAAGTATTAGTAAGAATGGGAATCGGTCTAAGACCACCAATATTACAGATAAAATGTGTCTGCAGTCTCCTATTAGAGAACTATTCAGTCATATTCTTTCATTGGCATGGCTTAGATTTTTGGCTCACCATTTTGGCGAAAAAGATACCAAAATACCTTTGCGTAGCTTTATATTTTGTCATTTGTATTTGCCATGAAATTGTTTCAGTTGCTTTAGCGCCGATTCCGAGTGAAGGATGCGTGGTATTTCTCAATAACATATAAATATGCATTTAGTTCTCTTTTGGCTTGTTCTCTTCATAAGAAGGTTGCTGTGGTTAGAGATGCATTTGATAAACTATTACCGGTAATTATAAATGAAATCAATTTTGTACATTTTAGTATTCGTATCAATTACTATTCTTATCAATCAAAGATAGAGCAGTTGTGTGAAATATATTAAAAATTATGTATGTTTTCGTTATCACAGTTACTGATACAGGGGTGGAATTAACCCATTGCCCGATGCCCGAGTCCAGTGTTTTTTTCAGTCGGGCAAGCAAATTTGTATATCACACTGTACCGGTGTCCTGTTGACTTTCCAATATTAATTATGTTGTTTATTTTAAAAATCAACAAGAAAACGGCCGGTATAGTGGAAAAATTATCAGGGCAAGTGCTTTTACATGTGCCACTGTACCGGAGTACACTAGCAATTTTAAAGTTATTTCCACCCCTGTGATATTGGTTGAAGTTTGAAAAACATTGCCCTCAGCCATTACATCCACCTAATCCTATACCACACACAACGAACAACGAGCACGTCACACAGATAACAAATCCACAAGATGGAGGAAATATTTCAACACACGACATAGATAGGAAGAGTCCTGAGTTTAAAAATAGCATAGTCTTGGAACACCATTTTCCCACCAATAATCTTTCAGCTTTTAGCAACAGCATTAAGCTTCATTTGAAATGAATGCCTGATTTATTATCTAAAATCTAACCTCTTTAAATGTTAAAGGTTATTTACAAATCTAAAACTTTCACAGATTGAAATAGAAGGCCAAAGGATAACACCATACAGAAAATTTTCAACAGTAACCATGGTAACAGTAACACCACAGACACATGTTTTTCGGATTGTCAAGCTGCATTATTGTATATACAACCTCATTTATAAAATTAACGGCTTCAAAACCAGGCGTCAGTCAGAACAACTGTTGAACTATTAAAACATCCTCAAAGAAATCATGAAAACAAATAGTTACTGTTTTGATTTTCTAGTAAACTTCACCATTCAGACTTTAACTGATCAAAATGAGAGAATACAGAAAAAGCCACTTCATATAGTTTCTTTTGTAAAAGGAACATCTGAAATATATATCTGAAATATTCTATAAGTCTTAGGAAAGCACAAAATATTAATACAAAGTGTAAAAGCAGTAGTTCTACTAAAACAGTAGTTCTACTAGATTATAACAGGCAAACATTGTGGCACATGACATTACAAGATCACATGCTCATTGGTGCAGTCGTAGCAGAGAGGTAACCATGGGAACACAGGAATGTGATTGACGGAGAGTTGATCAAAATCTGACATTAAGCACAATGGAAACTTCCTACAATCGCATCTAAGACGAGTTCCTTGTGTTGTGAAGACTGTTAGTAAGTGCTAGCACTGGAATCAAGGAATGAAATTCCTCTTATCTACCTGTTACTGTTGGACATTTGGCGCTCATCACCATGACAACCACAATTCTGATTCTTCTGTGTGTTGCTGAACACCACTCTATATTCCAGGGTGCTGTTGTACAAAGGGATCTGAGGTGATCCCAAATCTGATACATATAGACTTTTGACAGTCATAGCTAAGGGATGTTTGGGTCAACAGGACCCGGTACTTCATGGCAGACTGTAATTAACCTATCTCAACAAACAAGTGATTGAAATGAAGAGCAACAATCCACACCATCTTGTAAGGCGACACAGTATTAGCCCAGTCACTGAACCTGACTACAAGGTCCCTTTTGTCGCCTCCTCTGACCACCATAAGGTGCTGAGGGCAGGTCACATTATTGGTGTAAATGCCAAATACTGTAACAGGTTTCATACTAGATCCTTTCTTTAAGTATTAGAGCAGTATCCAAGCAGTATTAAAGCTGCACAGACTGCGTACTTTATTCTTGTCAGGCATGATAACTAAATAATCCTCATTAACTTTCTTTCTTTTTCATTTAACATTGCCAGCTATATATTCCATACAGGATGGGCTTTGTCTGGACCAGACAATCTAATGATTTACATCAGGAGCATTGCATCTATGGATGCATCAACAAGTCAGGCAGCTGGACAAGCAGGCATGTTAATCTCCTCTAATCACTAGCATCAGCTCAACACTGACATTTCTGAATCAATCTCGACATGAAGTTTGATAGTGACGCCCCAATTGTTATGTGTAGACATCTCAGACACTAACTGTCCAGTAGATGACACTGACTGTCCACTGGCTATCAACTTAAAAATAATTATTTTTTCAAAATTGGGATTATTTAAAAATTCTTAATTTCTTATATTCAGAGGTACTTTAAACATTACATTTTAAATCAAATAAAATACAACCAAAGATTAAAACCTGTTCTTACTTACTGGAACTGTCATCAATAAAACACAGATCAATTCAACAAGAAAACATGGGTTATTAGCTTTATAAACATTTCATCATTTTAGAATGAAATTGGAAAATGTTTCATTTACGTCAGGGTTTTTTAATGACTTTTCCACAGACACATAAAAAACCAGCCTCTGAGAAGTCTAAATAGACACCTGATATGAGTTGGAATCGTCAATCAATCCAAATTTAACAGGATTCATACTGCTTTCAGACTAATTCATCCATATTACAACAAATTACACAAAGCACAGAATTTACACAGTTTCCCCATGTGCACAAATTAACCTATGATTTCCGTAAAAATGACGTAAAATCAAACATCACTGATCATAACAAATCTGATCTTGTACAGTATGATCAATTCAGCTGACATTTCTCATCATATCATTTCAACTATCCAAATTCTAAAACTTCAGACATATTGTTTCCACGACAAGCACTCCTCGCAATGAGATGTCGCTAATACAGACACCAATGGTTGCAATGTGTTTGGAATGACTAAGAGATTATAAGCTGTTGTATGTACATCAGAAGATGCCATGTCCCATATCAAACTACATGTATGTCACATACAAATCATATAATATTCATGAAATAATCATTGTGTCGACAGGACAACTGATTACTATCATGGTAATAGTTCCGTATTGATGCAGACGTCACATGACCATTGTAAGTACATTTCAAGAACACCATCACTTCACATTCTCCTCAGACTCCATTACCACTTCAACGAGCTTACAAAAAATGCATCGAAAACTTCACATTCAATAATCCAACAGACTTGCAATGAAAAATCTGCAGGTATATTATCAGTAGGTTGTCTCTGTGCCTCTTAATCCACACATGGATTGCCCTTGACCTTTACAAGGAATTCAAGCACCTCACGAGATGTACCTACTTAAGATTTCGAGGACTTTCCAAGTACTTTAAAAGCTATAAATAGAACATATTCACTATTCTTCAAAGTACATACTATCTTTATGTGTATTAACTATGATCTAAATCTTTCTCTGCAAACAGTTGATGGTAATTACTACAAATCTAAACTGATTTTTGAGAGCAATGAAGCGTAATCACTTGAGACAAATTATCAAATTATACATGAACTACTGTATGTCAAATGACTGACTCAAATACTACAGACAAGCCTCATAAATAAATCTATTTACACACATGGCCTAAACCTCAATGGTTTCATAAGAGAATCACAGTGAAACCTTCTTCCGACTGCAGGATAAAAGATGACACAAATCAACGGCATCCGTCAACATTTCTCTCACTGAGGAGACCATTGTTTCATATTTCTGGGATAAGCTTTCGCTCAATTCAATGAGCTCTCCGGCAATGTAGTTTACCCTTCAATGACCTTGACCTCAACTACGATTTTCCACAGCATGGCCATCCCATGCCGACCTGGGATGAGTTGAGACTGATTCTCTCGCCACTTCCTTCTAGCCCCAGCTCGCCTCCGTACCGACGCTTCAGTTCCTGGTAGGAAACAAACAAAGCATTATCATAATTATGATTGTAATTAGATTTGTATGTCTGTTGTTTGACACTGTACTCTACAATATTTCAGTTATGTGATAATGGTCTGTTAATAATCGAGTCTTGACCAGACAATCTAGTGATCAATATCATGAGCATTATCTGTACCACTGGGATATGATTATCATGTATTATTAACTTTCTGTGTTTGTTTGTTAATGTTGCTCTTGGCAGTATTCCGGCTATGTGTCAGTGGTCTATAAACAATTCAATCCACTCCAAAACTTCATGATTGAAAACATGTGCAAGCTGTAACAGTCAGTCTATGATAACATCAACCGAGTCATCAAGCCTGACCAACTGATCACCCTAGCACTTCAAGCCTGAGTGAGTGAGTGAGTTTAGTTTTACGCCGCACTCAGCAATATTCCAGCTATATGGCGGCGGTCTGTAGATAATCGAGTCTGGACCAGACAATCCAGTGATCAACAGCATGAGCATCGATCTGCGCAATTGGGAACCGATGACATGTGTCAACCAAGTCAGCGAAACTGACCACCCGATCCCGTTAGTCGCCTCTTACGACAAGATAGTCGCCTTTTTATGGCAAGCACATGGGTTGCTGAAGACCTATTCTACCCCGGATCTTCACGGGTCACTTCAAGCCTGACCAACTGATCACCCTAACACTTCAAGCCTGACCAACTGATCACCCTAACACTTTAAGCCTGACCAACTGATCACCCTAGCACTTCAAGCCTGACCAACTGATCACCCTAGCACTTCAAGCCTGGAATACCCCTGTGGAAGCTACACCATCAATCTTAAAGGGGGAGCACACTCTCCATAAGGGCAGTCCCAGTCCCATACTTCATTACAATAGGCTGGACATTTAACACGTATGATACAAATGCATCTTATGTGAATAGTATTACATAAAACCCAAACATACAGAAGTATGAATTAGAATTCCAAATATAACAAGTGTTTGCCACTGATATGGCAGTGTCCCCCGCCGCTAAAGAATGGAATATCTATATTCACCACTTTATATTTTTGGGTCACATACAAGATGCCTGAAATGACTGGTGTCTGCATAATCACCCAATGTAGGCTGTCGACATACTTGAAAACATTCGGTGCAATGTTTTATGAGATGTTGTGGTGTGGTGACCTTGAAGATAAGGTCAAGGTCACCCAAACCAACTGGTGTCTGCGAAATCCCCAAATGTATGCTGTCACTGAATTTGAAGACATTGGGTACAACAGTCCATGAGATGCCGCGTTAAGAAGAGTTTGAAAAGTGTTCAAAGTATCGTGGTGACCTTGCAAATAAGGTCAAGGTCACCCAAATACACTGGTGTCTGCGAAATCCCCAGTGTAGGCTGTTACCAAATTTGAAGACATTGGGTACAACAGTCAATGAAATATCGCGTTAACAAGAGTTTAAAGCATGCAAAGTGTCGTGGTGACCTTGAAGTTAAGGTCAAGGTCACCCAAATCGACTGGTGTCTGCGTAATCCCCCAATGTAGGCTGTCACCAAATTTGAAGACATTGATATGAAGGCATGAGATATCGTTGACAAGAGTTTGAAAAGTGGTCGGTAAGTAAGCAGTAAGTGAGTGAATCCATTCAGGAGGGAATCAACCAGGACTGGATATCTGACTGCCAAGACAGAGTACAATGGCATACAAAACAAGTGTTTGCCACTGATTTGGCAATGTCCCCCGCCGCTAAAGAAGAATGAAATATTTATAACATATTTACTACTTTTAATTTTTTGGTCACATACAAGATGCCTGAAATGACTGGTGTCTGCATAATCCCACAATGTAGGCTGTTGCCAAATTTGACGACATTGGGTACAACAGTAACGAGATATCGCGTTAACAAAAGTTTGAAAAGTTGTCACAGTGCCGTGGTGACCTTGAAAATAAGGTCAAGGTCACCCAAATCGACTGGTGTCTGGGCAATCTCCCAATGTAGGCTGTCACCAAACTTAAAGACATTGGGTACAACAGTTCATGAGATATCGCGTTAACAAGAATCGGGACGTACGTACAGACGGACGCCGCTGAATACATAGTCCCCGGTTCTGCGTTGTGGTGGGGGACAATAAGGAACACAGCAAAGAAAGATTTAAAATCCCAGGTTTACAAAATAATCAGACAAAAAAATGTCAAGATGTATGTTATGTCCACAGGTTGTTTTAGCTGTATGTGAACATTTACGTTTGTACATTGCCAAATGTATGCACAGAAAAGCCTGTGGTCTATACTGAAATTGATGATGATGATGATGATGATGATGATAAATTGATGAAGAAGAAGAAGAAGAAGAAGAAGAAGAAGAAGAAGAAGAAGAAGAAGAAGAAGAAGAAGATGATGATGATGATGAATACATTTCACATTGGAAGAGGGGTGGTGAAGTAGCCTAGTGGTTAAAGCGTTTGCACGTCACGCTGAAGACCCCGGTTTCGATTCCCGACATGGGTACAATGTATGAAGTCAATTTGTGGTGTAACCTGCCGTGATATTGCTGGAATATTGCTAAAAGCAGCATAAAGCTAAACTCACTCATTCATATTGGAAAACATTCTTCAAGTGGCACCAGACTCACCTTTGCCATCTGCATGAATGCCTCATCTATGTTGGTGTTATCCTTGGCGCTGGTTTCCAGGGAGTCCAACATCCCACAGTTGTGGGCATAGTTCTTCGCCTCCTCACCGCTCACCTCGCGCAAACTCTCCAGATCTTTCTTATTGCCTGTGAACAGGATGTGATATCAAATAAATATCAACCTGAGTCAGCATAACTTAAACTGTATGAGGACGAGATTTTACTTACCATCCAAAAACATTGTCCAAAACTTTTCAGCTTGTAAAAAGGCTTTCCAGGAGGGTCTCATATAACATGAGATTCACTAAAACACCCTTATGATCCAGACAGTATCATTTCCTTTCAAACTGCCCAAAGTACACATTCCCTGATTCACTTCTTGGTTCAAGTGTATTCACATCCCATAACCGTAAAGTGTGACCAAATTATTACTGGGAAGGTATCTGGAATTACTGTATTTAAGCCCTGGGCTTAATGATAAATGACTGCTTTGGTAATCAAATCATACAACCATAATTAAGCCAAGGTCTATTCTAGTTAAACAATACTTTTAAACAATGTTGTTTGGACTGGTTGGTTTTAACTGGGTGTTAACAGTTATCAAGGTTTTCACTGGGTGTTAACAGTTATCATGGTTTTCACTATGATTATCACTGGGTGTTAACATTTATTATGGTTTTCACTGGGTGTTAACAGTTATCATGGTTTTCACTTGGTGTTAACAGTTATCATGGTTTTCACTGGGTGTTAACAGTTATCATGGTTTTCACTGGGTGTTACAGTTATCATGGTTTTCACTATGATTATCACTGGGTGTTAACATTTATTATGGTTTTCACTGGGTGTTAACAGTTATCATAGATTTCACTGGGTGTTAACAGTTATCATGGTTTTCACTGGGTTTACAGTTATCATGGTTTTCACTGGGTGTTAACAGTTATCATGGTTTTCACTGGGTGTTAACAGTTATCATGGTTTTCACTGGGTGTTAGCAGTTATCATGGTTTTCACTGGGTTTAGCAGTTATCATGGTTTTCACTGGGTGTTAACAGTTATCATGGTTTTCACTGGGTGTTAACAGTTATCATGGTTTTCACTGGGTGTTAGCAGTTATCATGGTTTTCACTGGGTGTTAACAGTTATCATGGTTTTCACTGGGTGTTAACAGTGATCATGGTTTTCACTGGGTGTTAACAGTGATCATGGTTATCACTGGGTGTTAACAGTTATCATGGTTTTCACTGGGTGTTAACAGTTATCATGGTTTTCACTGGGTGTTACAGTTATCATGGTTTTCACTGGGTGTTAGCAGTTATCATGGTTTTCACTGGGTGTTAGCAGTTATCATGGTTTTCACTGGGTGTTAACAGTTATCATGGTTTTCACTGGGTGTTAACAGTTATCATGGTTTTCACTGGTGTTAGCAGTTATCATGGTTTTCACTGGGTGTTAACAGTTATCATGGTTTTCACTGGGTGTTAACAGTTATCATGGTTTTCACTGGGTGTTAACAGTTATCATAGATTTCACTGGGTGTTAACAGTTATCATGGTTTTCACTGGGTGTTAACAGTTATCATAGATTTCACTGGGTGTTAACAGTTATCATGGTTTTCACTGGGTGTTACAGTTATCATGGTTTTCACTGGGTGTTAACAGTTATCATGGTTTTCACTGGGTGTTAACAGTTATATGATTTCACTGGGTGTTAACAGTTATCATGGTTTTCACTGGGTGTTAACAGTTATCATGGTTTTCACTGGGTGTTACAGTTATCATGGTTTTCACTGGGTGTTAGCAGTTATCATGGTTTTCACTGGGTGTTAGCAGTTATCATGGTTTTCACTGGGTGTTAACAGTTATCATGGTTTTCACTGGGTGTTACAGTTATCATGGTTTTCACTGGGTGTTAGCAGTTATCATGGTTTTCACTGGGTGTTAGCAGTTATCATGGTTTTCACTGGGTGTTAACAGTTATCATGGTTTTCACTGGGTGTTAACAGTTATCATGGTTTTCACTGGGTGTTACAGTTATCATGGTTTTCACTGGGTGTTAGCAGTTATCATGGTTTTCACTGGGTGTTAGCAGTTATCATGGTTTTCACTGGGTGTTAACAGTTATCATGGTTTTCACTGGGTGTTAACAGTTATCATGGTTTTCACTGGGTGTTAACAGTTATCATGGTTTTCACTGGGTGTTAACAGTTATCATGGTTTTCACTGGGTGTTAACAGTTATCATGGTTTTCACTGGGTGTTAACAGTTATCATGGTTTCACTCACTGGGTGTTAACAGTTATCATGGTTTTCACTGGGTGTTAACAGTTATCATGGTTTTCACTGGGTGTTAACAGTTATCATGGTTTTCACTGGGTGTTAACAGTTATCATGGTTTTCACTGGGTGTTAACAGTTATCATGGTTTTCACTGGGTGTTAACAGTTATCATGGTTTTCACTGGGTGTTAACAGTTATCATGGTTTTCACTGGGTGTTAACAGTTATCATGGTTTTCACTATGATTATCACTGGGTGTTAACATTTATTATGGTTTTCACTGGGTGTTAACAGTTATCATAGATTTCACTGGGTGTTAACAGTTATCATGGTTTTCACTGGGTGTTAACAGTTATCATGGTTTTCACTGGGTGTTAACAGTTATCATGGTTTTCACTATGATTATCACTGGGTGTTAACATTTATTATGGTTTTCACTGGGTGTTAACAGTTATCATAGTTTTCACTGGGTGTTAACAGTTATCATGGTTTTCACTGGGTGTTAACAGTTATCATGGTTTTCACTGGGTGTTACAAGTTATCATGGTTTTCACTGGGTGTTAACAGTTATCATGGTTTTCACTGGGTGTTAACAGTTATCATGGTTTTCACTGGGTGTTAACAGTTATCATGGTTTTCACTGGGTGTTAACAGTTATCATGGTTTTCACTGGGTGTTAACAGTTATCATGGTTTTCACTGCGTTAACAGTTATCATGGTTTTCACTGGGTGTTAACAGTTATCATGGTTTTCACTGGGTGTTAACAGTTATCATGGTTTTCACTGGGTGTTAACAGTTATCATGGTTTTCACTGGGTGTTAACAGTTATCATGGATTTCACTGGGTGTTAACAGTTATCATGGTTTTCACTGGGTGTTAACAGTTATCATGGTTTTCACTGTTAACAGTTAACATGGTTTTCACTGTTATCATGGTTTTCACTGTTAACAGTTATCATGGTTTTCACTGGGTGTTAACAGTTATCATGGATTTCACTGGGTGTTAACAGTTATCATGGTTTTCACTGGGTGTTAACAGTTATCATAGATTTCACTGGGTGTTAACAGTTATCATGGTTTTCACTGGGTGTTAACAGTTATCATGGTTTTCACTGGGTGTTAACAGTTATCATGGTTTTCACTGGGTGTTAACAGTTATCATGGTTTTCACTGGGTGTTAACAGTTATCATGGTTTTCACTGGGTGTTAGCAGTTATCATGGTTTTCACTGGGTGTTAGCAGTTATCATGGTTTTCACTGGGTGTTAACAGTTATCATGGTTTTCACTGCGTTAACAGTTATCATGGTTTTCACTGGGTGTTAGCATGGTTTTCACTGGGTGTTAACAGTTATCATGGTTTTCACTGGGTGTGTTCATGGTTTATCACTAGGTTATCATGGTTTTCACTGGGTGTTAACAGTGATCATGGTTTTCACTGGGTGTTAACAGTTATCATGGTTTTCACTGGGTGTTAACAGTGATCATGGTTTTCACTGGGTGTTAACAGTTATCATGGTTTTCACTATGAGTTATCACTGGGTGTTAACATTTATTATGGTTTTCACTGGGTGTTAACAGTTATCATAGTTTCACTGCGTTAACAGTTATCATGGTTTTCACTGGGTGTTACAGTTATCATGGTTTTCACTGGGTGTTAACAGTTATCATGGTTTTCACTGGGTGTTAACAGTTATCATGGTTTTCACTGGGTGTTAGCAGTTATCATAGATTTCACTGGGTGTTAACAGTTATCATGGTTTTCACTGGGTGTTAACAGTTATCATGGTTTTCACTGGGTGTTAACAGTTATCATGGTTTTCACTGGGTGTTAACAGTTATCATGGTTTTCACTGGGTGTTAACAGTTATCATGGTTTTCACTGGGTGTTAACATAGATTTACTCAGTTATCATGGTTTTCACTGGGTGTTAACAGTGATCATGGTTTTCACCGGGTGTTAACAGTTATCATCGTTATCACTGGGTGTTAACAGTGATCATGGTTATCACTGGGTGTTAGCAGTGATCATGGTAATCAGCCCCGTGGTCTGGTACAAATATTGGGGGAGTTTTATATACTCGTTCATTACGTGGCTACTTAGCTCAAAATATGACTTTAAACCCCACATACCATTAACATGATTAAGTTTCAGTAACCATGGCAACACATCAAATTCAAACATAAACTGAAAGAATGTATGTCTCTATGCTCAGGCTGAGACAGGTTAAACAGGAGGGGCAAGTCTGGAGTGGGACTGACCTGCCGACAAGAGTATGTTGACCGGTGACATGGTGTTAAATGACAACAACAAAACGACCTGGTTACACAGGTGGGGCAAGTCTGGAGTATGTGGACCGGTGACATGGTGTTAAATGACAACAATAAAACGACCTGGTTTCACTACAAGTGGCTTGTCAGTGTATGAATAATCAGACTGTTTTATAAGTGTTTCCAAAAGCCAAAGATGAGGTAAAACTATTCCCAAATGGACATTTGTACCCTACTCCCTAGCAGACATGGGGTAATTGTAATTTGTAATTGTAATTGAATGTAATTAACTACAAAAATGTTCGTGTTATTGCAAAAACCTGTGTTTCACGCAAATAAATCTACATTTCTCGCACAATATTTTCTACCTGCGTGATCTGCACGAAAAGCATTTTGTGTTCTGGGTAGTTACATTAAAAAATTACACGAGTCACTTGTGTGCCACAACTCCCTAAATTCTTTATGAAAATGTAATTTTCTGACTTAAATTGATATTTTATACTTATCCTGACTCATGCTAAATGCTTGTCTCCTTCTCCTTGCGAATGATAGTGGAACACTTGAAACCCCTTGAAGTTCCCTTCTAAAAAGCGGACATAAAGTCATCACTCACCCACAAGTTACCTCCCTTGCCTCCTTGGTGCCCTTTTGGTCACATGACCGGCCATGTTTTGTCACTCTCTCCGTATGTATGCCCGACTCTTGGATTTACAGGGAAATCCAGAGTGCCATAAGATGGGAGGTTGGGAGGGCTGACCTCATGAGTCAGGATAAGTATAAAATATCAATTTTAGTCAGAAAATTACATATTTTTCCTTATCCTGACTCACGCTAAATGCTTGCAGAATCCGTCTGAATTGGTGGTGGGTCAGGCCACTTTTGAATACTCTGGCTGTTGATTTACGTCCTGTATTACCCCCCCATGGGAACTTATGACGGCACTGCTGATGATTCTGTTCTTTCAACTTCCTCTGATGAGTCTGGGGGGAACCACAACTGTCAGATTTCTTCCGAAACTTCTCCTGACATTTTCGTGTGGATTATCTATTGCAACTCCATCTCTTGATGCGGTGGTGGAGTTCTTGAACTTCAAGATGAGTGCTTCGTTGATAGCCCTAGATCTGGCTAGTCCCAAGAAGGTAAGTCTAGTAGTCGTATCCAGTTGCGCTAGCTTCTTGTCCTCTATCTTGTAAGTTCTATAGCGGGAGTCGTTGATGATCTTGTAGTCCTCACCAATCTCTGGTGCCGTCAGGAAGCGTTCCATGTGATGGAGGGGGAATCTCCTGGCGTGGAACGTCGGGATATGCTGATTCTGGAACTTGGTAGCCTTATCAAAGGCTGAGCTGAGGCTGTCCGGTACTTGGGAGATCGGGTCGATAGACAGAAAGGTGAGTGTGTCGAAATCATCGTTGGACATCTTGTATGTAAACGCTTCGTCTGTGTCCTTGGAAGGTGATGCTAGGTCCAGGCCATTAGCAATCCATGAGGTTACTTCCGTATCGGAGAATATGACTTCACCTTCTTCCTCTGATGTAGACATCTCCCGATCTGACGATCCACGATGACGTGAGTTTCTGTATGAAGATCTGTACGACGAACTACTCGCCGGTGAACGATCCCGACGTGTATCCTTCCTGGAGTCTTGAGATCTCTCTCTAGGCCTTCGTGAAGGTTGATTCTTAGGCGAAGTTCCCCCTCTATGAGATGTGGAGTGCCTGCGTGCAGGTTCCTGATGTGCCTCTGAGTCCGATGGTGATGACAACTTCATAATTTTACATGGGGCTATGGCCAAGAGCCCCCATCTTGCACATGCAAGATTCTAAGGGCTATGTGTTTTAGGAATGAAAAGCTTGTTTTCCTACCGTGAACACTGCAGACTGTTTTATAAGTATTTCTAAAAGCCAAAGCTCAGTTTAAAATTATTCCCAAATGGACATTTGCACCCAACTCCCTAGACATACAACTGGTGCTCAACTCTACCTGGGTACCCGGTAGTAAATTTGTAAACATCACTCAGCTCTACTCCATACATCATGTTGACAATCAAAAAAATGATCTATGGTTCAGTATCACTGTCAGCTTCATCACCAATGCAATATTTACCTATCATCAACTGCACAATGGATGTTCCTGCATATCTCTTTACATCTTCAAGCCAGCGAGGAATGTTGTCGAAGGTAGACCGTTTTGTGATATCATAGGCTATGATAACGCCATTAGCACTTCTGTAGTAGCTCTGGGTGATGGTTCGGAACCGTTCTTGGCCTGCCGTGTCCCAGATCTGCAGCTGCAAGTACAATGAGGACATGAATACACCACGGGAAGATACAAAACCCAACTGCTTTACCGACTCCTCTGACAAAAATAAAACGAAAAATGAAAATCAGCTCAATCGGAGTGTAAACTATAACATATGTAAGGTACAGATTCTAGTACTCTTGTTGGGTTCACTCCCATCCAAGATTTGAACCCAAACCATCAGAGATACCTAATGACCACCACACAATGTTAGCCATGTAAACCACTCAGCCACCGCAGCTTCCACAAAAGAGGAACTTGGACAACTTGTTGTCACAGACTTTGTGTACCTCTCTGAAAAGTGTAAAGTAGCAGACGTCCCATGGCTGAAGGCTATGAATACACATTAAGAACATGTAGAAAGTGGTCAAATGCAACACATTATATTTGGGATTACACATTCTCAGTAAAGTACAGATTCTACTACAATATACTTTGAATCCCAGACGGGAGTCAACCCAACAAAGGTACTAGTAGTAGTAGTAGGATATTGACATAGCGCTAATTCCACAACACATGGCCATGCTCAAAGCTCTTCCTGAGCATTACATACAGGGATGGAGATACTGGCAGAAATGTTACTGATATTTTTGGAAAAGGTGGGTCTTAAGGAGTGCTTTGAAAGACGTGAGTGTTGGTGATGACTTCAAGTCAGTAGGAAGGGAATTCCATAGAGTTGCAGCAGCAAACGGGAAAAATCACGCACCAAATGATTTCAAATTGTAACTTGGAACAGTCAGCAGAAATTGTTGAGAAGAGTGTAGAGTTCGTACTGGAGCATATTGAGATAAAATATCCTGAAGATACGAAGGTCCTGTGTTGTAAAAAGATTGATAGGTCAGCCACAGTATCTTGAAATCGATCCTTTCACGTATGTGGAGCCAGTGTAAAGAGTCCAGAATCAGAGAGATGTGGGAACAGGGACTGGTTAGCGTGATGAATCTAGAAATAGAATCTACCTTACTGAGAAAGAATAATCCCAAATATAACGTGTTAGATTTAACCACTTTCTAAAAAGGCATTGTGTCAACTGATGTGTTAACCACCATCAATATATGCATACAATCTTTTAAATGAAAATATTATTGACATTTGTAGACTGCCTGCCTGCCTGAGGATAGGATAGGTGAAACTTTGAGGAAATATCAAGTTACCTATACTATTTCTGAACACCTGTTATCTGTTTGACATTACAACAGGTGAAGTTAATTAATGTATTCAGTCTAACTTCTAAGCAAACTAACAAAAAGAAAGTTAGAGGCTCACTGGATGCTGTCATTTGGAAATAACCTTGATGGTAAGTGCAACCTTTTAATGCATCCCCGTCTCTGAGAGTGTCCAGAATATACAGCAAACAGTGGTTCCTGGTAACTCTTGTGTCTGAGGTAATTGTGCAATATAACAATGGGCCAAAAAGTCTGGTTGTAAGTGGTAAATGTATTACATATTATGTACTGCAATTTCCATACTGCATGGTTGCCAGACCTTGAACTTCACTAATTTAAAAAAAAACATTTGAAAGAAGGTGTGATATAAAAAGAGTGTCCAAAATGAAACATTATCATGATTATAGTTATTAAATTGAAGTTGCTTAGTGTCAAATATTTTATCTGAGGAATGATTAGTTGAGTTACGAAAAACATTGATCAAAGGATTAACCAATAATCAGGATGATCATTGTAATGTGTTCATTGATTTACCAGTGCTATTAAAAGTAGATTTTTCAATAATAATATCTGTACATGCAGGTTTACCATTGATTACTTAGAAGATGGAATATACCCTTATTTGGTCAGGAGGGGCGGTGGGGTAGCCTAGTGGTTAAAGCGTTTGCTCGTCACGCTGAAGACCTGGGTTCAAATCCCAACATGGGTACAATTTGTGAAGCCCATTTCTGGTGTCCCCTGCCGTGATGTTGCTGGAATATTGCTTAAAGCGGCTTAAAACCAAATTCAGTCAGTCAGTATTTGGTCAGGAAGTGCCTATGTATAAGCAAAATACATTGTTCAACTTGAATGGATTAGCCAGTAATACATTGCTACTTGCTTGCTGTTATTGAACTCTGTAGAGTGTTTTTAAACAGTGCACATCATGGAAACAATTGTCACTTGAGCTAATGGGACATGACACCTACATTAAACACCTAAAACAGTTCAGTTCAGATATGACCACAAGGTATAATATTCCAAATGAAGCATAATTTTTAAGATTGTTGCAAAGCACAACAAATAAGTTTTTCAGTAATAAAGTTATGGATAAGAACTTTTTGTTTATAGCAAAGAACGCCTTTTCAGTGTAGCCTCTACACTGTTTTCGAGCTAAAGGTTTTTAGCTTTGAATTGGTGTCAGAATCTACACCGAAACGTTGATCTGTGCACTAAGCAAGAAGTTGTTATCCATAAAGTTGTATGGTTAATTATTATCTCGCCAACTTCTGGAGTGAGTGAGTCAAGGTAGTGAGAATCTTTCCTTAAATAAGGGTTATATAGCATAAGTTATTCATTATTGAACTGACAACTACTTATGCATCAAACTCACAGTGATAAAAATTAGGCATGGCGTGAGTGAGTTTAGGTTTACGCTGCACTCAGCAATATTCCAGCTATATGGAGGCGATTTGTAAATAATCGAGTCTGGCCCAGACAATCCAGTGATCGACAGCATGAGCATCGATCTGCCGAATTGGGAACCGATCACATGTGTCAACCACGTCAGCAAGTCTGACCCCCAGATCCCGTTAGTTGCTTCTTACGAAAAGCATGGGTTACTGAAGGCTCATTCTAAACTGGACCTTCACGGGTGACCAAGTTCTAGAATGCTGATCAAACAATAAATAAGTTTTTCTTGGTGAAGATATATGGGAGAGTGTTCCTTTTTGTTTGGTTTGTATGTTTAACATTCAGCAATATTCCAGCAATGCTCCAGCGGTCTGTAAATAATTGAGTCTGAACCTGACATGACCATCGATCTACGCAATTCGGATACGATGACACGTGTCAACCAAGTCTGCAACTGTCCGTCAGTTGCCTCTTACAACAAGCATGGGTTATTGAAGACAGACTCTAACATGCATCTTCAAAGGTCAGTGTTCCTTTATGTAAATAATGACAGACACATTTCTCAAATATCTTACATGTAACTGCCAAATATTATTATTATTTTGACGGCTGTAATTATGATATTTGCATTTTGTCATAAAAAGGAAACATCATTCTTTGAAGAATTACTCATAAACTGTCAAAGATGAGGGCTTTTAAGAATTAACAATAATAACATGGCAGGTATAAAGTATCACTCTTTATTACTTACCTGATTCATCTTACCATAGGAATACAACCGTACAAATTACATATTGCATGGCTGCCGGACCTAGAACTCGAGGATGTCATGGTTGGAAAGAAACAACGCGTTCTTCAAACTTATTGTTTCTCTCCTACCATGACATGTTCTTGATCAATACATTTGGTCCAATGCACAAGTATGACATATACTTATATACTCTCTCTCTTTCAAACACACAAACACTTGCCTGATGATAAAACATGGACATAACCATGATAAAGTAAAGTGTCAGAAAGAACTTCGCACCAATACTTCAGTATTCAACAATAGCCATAACATGTTAGGCCTTACAGCAAAACCATCCATAAACATTGATGAATTAGGTAAAGGACACCAATACATGCAATAAGCATGATTCAGCACTGTGTTAAAGGGACAGTACAATGATCGTTCTGAGCATGGTTTGTAAACTATAGCAATACCCTATATAACACTGGGTTCTAATCTGACCAAGCTGGGGCAACTATTTTGTATCTCATCCATAAGAAATACACAGGTTTCTCTTCAACTTGCTGATGAAGAAACACAAGATTGAAGTGATTTAAGTCTACGATGCCCTTGTATCGTCAGTTTCACTGTTCAGAGGTCTATAGTTTGGGTTAGAAAAATTAATCAGGCATAAACTCATCTTAAGCTATGATGTCACACTTGCAAAAATAATTCATGCATGATTTAATAACACACTAACAGTATGTGTACTGTTCCTTTCATCACTGCTTCCGTAGACTACATATTAGTCTGCATTTGTGATCTATGTGTAAGCACCTACCCAACAACTTTCACTGACAAGCATAACAAACATTTCCAAACATATTGACCATGTTTACATAATAAATATCAATTTACAAATGATAAGCCCATAAGTTCATTACGGACAATAATTCAAATTCAAAAACTTGTAGTTAATAAACATGTCACCTAGTTCAGATACACGGGAAAACCGAAATCAGTACTTCGGTTGTGATTGAGTCTAAAATTAGAATGTGTGATTCATCAAATATAAACAAATGCTTCCTCGAGTTGTTGCCAGCTGACTCGAATATCCTGTCAAGAAAATCGCCCATATGTAATAGATACGTCAACAACTTAAAGCATAAATAATCATCACTTTTGTCTTACCTTCACAAGTTTGCCGTCAATGTTCAAAGTTTTCATTGTAAAGTCCACTCCGATGGTACTACCGTGTTTTTCTGTGTAAGTTCCCGATTTGAATCTCTGCACAACGCAGGTTTTTCCAACACCTGCATCTCCAATTAACACTATTTTAAACAAATAATCAAACTGTTCATCAGGATCGAGTGTTGACTGGTACGACATTTTCAAGATGAACCCACTCCCTCTGTCATTAATAATTTACACTGTATCAATCCCAACTCCGATGACACAGCTTCAGCCGAGTTTCATGTTTTGGCTATACCGGAAGTGACATCACTTTGTGATGCCACTTCCGTGTTGGTGTTTGTTTGTTTCGAATCATGTGACAAAGATAACAAGTATTATGAAAAACATACAAGTCATAACGCAAATTGTGGCAATCCCTTCTTTCTTAATTTAGATAAACCTACTTGTTTTATGTAAACATATACACTGGTGAATTAATAATGGGACGTAACTCTTGTCAGGCTTACTTCGAGGCGGAAATTCAAGGCATAAATTAGATAAAATTATCTGTGTTCGAAACTGATTGGTTTATTTTTTTTCACGACAGTGTGACACCAAAATTAAAATTACACGTTTTGCCTAAAATATAGGTAAGAGTTCCTCCCGTTCCCCCATCCCAAATAATACTTATAAATTAACATATACTAAAATTATTAACAAAACTTAACACAACAATTACTAGAGAACTCACAATAATGACTAAAAGTCCAAAATTTAAGTTAGAGTTAGGGTCAGGTTTAGGGTTAGGTTTAGAGTTAGCTTTAGTGTTGGGGGAACGGAAGGAACTCTTTCCAAAATATATTCTTGTAATTATTGTAAACTTTGTGTATGCTTCATTTATGTTGTTGCTAGTCTGGGGCAAAGGATCAAATAATTCTCAATGCCAGGAAGTTGGTTTATATACTTGTATAAGTCTCAACTACCCTACACTTACTCCAGTCTAGTAGTTAAATGTCAGATAAGGGGTGGAACATATATGCGATGGTGTTTCAGAGGGAGTCATGGTTCCTGAAAAATATGACAATCCCTGGTGGAAGGTTATGAACCAAATTACACATATTTTGGGGGTCATGAAAAAATAGGCATAAAGTTCTTTTGCATTTAGTCTTTTCAGAAAGGTGAAAGAAATGGACAAGGATATACTGACAAGACAAGGATATACTGACAAGACAAGGATATACTGACAAGACAAGGATATACTGAGGGTCATCTAAACCTCTCCAACCATGAAAGTTCACTTTTTATGGTCCATTAATTAGTTGTTAGAACTGATCGTCAGTGAAACCATGCATGCTTGTCGTAAGAGGCGACTAACGGGACTGAGTGGTCAATCTGACTGATTTGGTTGACACATGTCATCTTATCCCAGTTGTGTAGGTCAATGCTCATGCTGTTGATCACTGGATTGTCTGGTCCAGATTCAATTATTTACAGACTGCTGCCATATAGCTGAATGTGCTTAATGCAACATTCATGCACATATTTGTTTTAACTGTGTGTGGTTATATAGCATATTCCGATTATTCCATAGACTGCATCGCCAATTACCTGTCTCATTCCTTTTAATATTGTTATGTAACATTTTGTCTGGTATTTCCTGAGTCTAATGAGCGAGTGAGTGAGTGAGTGAGCGACACCAGAAATGGGCTTCACACATTGTACCCATGTGGGGATCAAACCCAGGTCTTCGGCATGATGAACCAACACTTTAACCACTAGGCTGCCCAGACGCCCTCCTAGGTGTTATGAGAGTCAATCAGCTTATTTGTGAGCTATTAGTTCTGTGAATTCTTTTTTTCTTGTGTTGGATTTGTGTTGTGAATCAGATGCTGGTAAATGTAATACACCGATGTAGGACATATACTTGGTGAATTCCCGATGATGACACACGGAGAGCTGTGTTGGTCATCACCTCAAGAAGATCTGGGTTAGAACTGGCCATCAGCAACTCATGCTGGTCATAACAGGTGACATACAGGATCAGCTGGTCATAACAGGTGACACACAGGATCAGCTGGTCATAACAGGTGACACACAGGATCAGCTGGTCATAACAGGTGACACACAGGATCAGCTGGTCATAACAGGTGACATACAGGATCAGCTGGTCATAACAGGTGACACACAGGATCAGCTGGTCATAACAGGTGACACACACAGGAGGTGACACACAGGATCAGCTGGTCATAACAGGTGACACAGCTGTCATAACAGGTGACATACAGGATCAGCTGGTCATAACAGGTGACACACAGGATCAGCTGGTCATAACAGGTGACACACAGGATCAGCTGGTCATAACAGGTGACACAGGATCAGCTGGTCATAACAGGTGACACACAGGATCAGCTGGTCAGGCTGGGTGACTGAGCTGATGCGTATACACGTAATTGTATCCTAGTTGTGGAGATCAATCCCTTGACATCAATAACTGTGCTGTTTGATCCAGACTTGACTATTGACGTCACATAGTTTCCTGCCACATCACCTAAATTTCCTGCCTTACCTTCTCCCACATCACCTAATTAGCAGAGAACTCCTAATATCTGTAACCACTGAACCGTCTCACTGGAGCAGGCTGAGTTCTCCCGTCCTCCATTAATTCTTACATCTAACAGCCATTATGACCAACCAATCTTCTATTTCATCACATCATAAGGCAGTGTTCTGGATTCATTGCAAGACATGGTTGGCCATGTGGTCTAAAGTGCTGCAACTTGCAATGAAGAGTTGCATTCCTTAGGTAACCAAGGATCAGAGTGATCATGGGTTTCAATCCCAGATTCATTCTGATTTAGATTCCTTGTTTGTCATTTAGATTCCTTGCATGTCATTTAGATTCCTTGCTTGTCATTTAGATTCCTTGCTTGTCATTTAGATTCATTCTTTGTCATAAAGATTCATTCTTTGTCATTTAGATTCCTTGTTTGTCATTTAGATTCCTTGTTTGTCATTTAGATTCCTTGCTTGTCAGCACCATCCCTGTACTCCTCGGTTTCTTCAAAGTGACAATCAGACTGAAGATCTGGGTTCGAATCCCCACATGGGTACAATGTGTGAAGCCCATTTCTGTTTCCCACCGTGATATTGCCCAAAGCGGTGTAAAACTGAACTCACTCACTCAAAGTGATAAATGACAGCTGCAGGCTGTAGCTGACATGACATCATTTAATACGATAAAAGTCAAGTCACAAACCAACATGAGACTGACTCATCATGATGCCATATTGCCTCTTTCATTCACTGTTATGTACAGACATAAGAAATAACAAAACTGTATTTTCTGTTAAATTCAACAGCAGTTATTGTTTATTTAAAGTATAGCAATATTTGAAAATAATGGTTTCAACAGATATACTTTTTACTTAACATATACGTCTTGTGTTCAACAACCATGAGCTCATAACAGTATTTGAAATCTGTGAAAACTCACATGTTCATAAATAAACAAAACATTCAGTCAGTGTGACAATCAGATAAAGAGTTGAAACATTTTCTCCAATGTTCAATATTTCAAAGAGCAAACACACATGCACACACTCATGTAATATATTTATTAAATTCAAATCATAATAAATACCACACACAGACTTTTACTACTCGCACATCTTAATTACCGGTTATGATAAAAACAAGAAATGGAAAACTTAGGGACTGACAATATATTAAAGAAGAAAAAAATCTGAGTCTCATGGGCAGGTTCTAAAATGTAATACACATATTTGAGGAGGATCAAGAAACAAATAGTACAAGGACTCTTGGAGCCTAACTCCTTTCAGTACATCAGAACATGAAAAACACCTAACCCATCCTTCCCTGTAATAAATTACCATCCCCTAAATTTACAAAAACAACAAAAACAAACCCAACACAAGGACACACCTGAAATTTACCTCATTCATGTCTCAAGTAGAAATCCTTATGCCTTCTCAGAAAATCTTTCACTTCACAAAACACAACACAACCAACTTTGGGTTGAGGCATGAAGGATCTCTGCAGTTTGTCGAAAAGTAGGATTATAGTTTCTTCTGAATATGTAGAATTAAACAGTTACTGATTGCAGACAGGTTGTCAAAAATATCCATGGAACATCAGAAACTTCCATTTCATGGACTGACAAATATATCGTAGATGGAACAGTTCTATTTTCTTCTTCTCCAATTATCAGCCTCAAAACATGCATAGATACATTCTGGCTGCATAAATTTTATTTCTTCTTTCACAAAATGTTTATGTCTGTGTCAAGTGGTAGGTAAAAATAATCCCAACATAAAAGTTTCAAAACTTGTGTCTTAATTCTGGAAGATTTAGTTAATATTCGTCAGTAAAACAAGAAAATTAATTCTACATGGCCCCCCCAAAAAATTTGCATCATATTCTTTCTCTCTCAAAGTGTTTGTGAATTGCAGTATTAAAAAATTACATGTATCATGCAGGAACATTGTCTAACACTGAACCTATGGACATCTGTACTAAATCCCTGAATAATAATTGCGATCAAGACTATATCTACCGTATTCGCCATATTAAGCATCCAGCCCCAGTAAGCACCCACCCAACTTCGAGACAAATGTGTCAGTAATCTTGATAAGACCAAAAATGTACATGTCAGTTCACCTAATTCCCCCTGAAAACAGCAGTGTCGATGGGTTATATAATTGCCTGGTAACTATTTAATAAATCCAAAGTTTTAATTTCATGTATAGTTTAATTAAATCTGATTCGAATACACAATGCCATTTAGAAAGGCGATAAGGTGCAAGACTCTGAGGGTGTGGGTTCGAATCCCGGATGGGACTCAACCCAACACAATGCCAGAATCTGTACTTTACTGAGAAAGTGTAATCCCAAATATAACACATGTTAAATCTGATTCACAACCACTTGATCTTGTCACACAACTGAAGTGTCTAGCATGGCTTAAATATCCTCCCCAAATATACTTCTAATTCCCCTGGACACCTATTATGGCAGACATGGTATGTTGTATCTGTCAGTAGTGATACTAATCTCAATTACATCAGAAGCTAGCGCACGCTATGACTACACAAGGCTGCAGTAGTGACCACTGAGATCTTACCATAATGAGAGTGGCAGTGGTACTGAAATACGCCCGTCAGATAAGGCACTTGAGTCTATGAACACAGCACGGTTCCAGAACCATTCTGCACAACAATCACCATATACAAAAGTAATACACTTCTATTGATGGACTTGGTTAATAATAGCTGGGCTGCCATCTGGAACCAAGTCTTGTTCTTACGAGATCTCCGAATATATATACAAACTAGCTTTACCATTAAATATTGCGAAGAGATTGTCATCCTCAATTTTCCAGTCTCTATTATAAACCCCATTGACACATTCGCCATAAATCTTATCACAGAATTTCTATCACACAATTAATATTGAGCTCTTACAATATTTAGTCAAACCAAAAGACTATATAAATGATTAATTAGTTGCAGAAGAGTACCAAAATATGGGGAATAACACCATTTTACTATTACCATTCTCAGATGTATTTGAAATAGTACACGAGAGGATATTCAAAGTACTTGTGTGAAGTTGCCACTTAACTGACAAAACCTGGAATTTGATTGTATGATTTTCTTCAGTGCCTCAAAATGGACTCTAGGTGAAGTTTGGTGGCAGATGATGGGTCATAATTGGAATGGGGGACATAGTCCCCTTGATAACAGAGGATGCGGTATTGTGAAAGTGCTCTCGTTCACTATCACACATCTGCCTACACTGGGTGTGAGAATGTATTCTCTCATAAGCTGGATCCCTGCAAAATACTGAACAGAGGCGGATACAGCTTTTTGAGAAAGGGGGGTGCACAGTTCATTTTCACCCGTTTTCATGAGAGTTTCAATGGTCATTTAATGAACTTTCAGGACAAAAGGGCACCCCCACCCCACCTTCAGGATCCACCTATGTAAAAAAGTGAACACATCGTTTTAGCAGAAAGAAGAATGTTCAGCATACATGTAATAAAATAGGGTAAAATGTTAACATAATATCAACCTGTGTGTACCATTGTCTTATAGTCTCTTCTGACTGATGAATTTTAATATTTATCTGCATATGCTGTTAATATTAAAACCACTTCACTTACAAAGACACAAGAAATTGAAGATGATATTTCATATGAAGAATTAATGCTTAAGATCGGGATCAGAATACACAGTTGTGAGGAAATGTGAGGAAACACAACAGTTGGGATCAATCCTACAACAAAATAGTTCCATAGTTGTAGCCTCCTAGGAGATGATGAAGATGTAGAATGAAACAGACAACATCCAATGACTCTCATACAGGTGTAAGTCAATCAGCGACAACGGAGTATGACACAGTTGCACTTTTCTAGGATTCAGAAATTGTACATGTAATTAGTCATTTTGATACAGATATATTGAATAAATTCAATTTCCTTCATTTTTGTGAAAATGATAACAAAAATAATGATGTTTTAATGGCAGTGTTTGAAAGGTGACCACTGAAGAATGACCAGATTGTATTACAAAGTATCCATTGCCTACACAAGTCAAAATGGTATAACAACACACTGAACTTGACAGTGAGTTGGGTTTAATGCTGATTTGATAAGTATTTCAGTTTTATCACAGCTCAGAGGACAGTACAAAGTGATGCAGGTTAGACATAACCTATACCAGAGATACCCTAGATATACCCTAGAGATATCCTAAATATACCCTAGAGATATCCTAGTTATACCCTAGAGATATCCTAAATATACCCTAGTTATACCCTAGAGATATCCTAGATATACCCTAGAGATATGCTAGTTATACCCTAGAGATATCCTAGACATACCCTAGAGATATCCTAGACATACCCTAGTTATACCCTAGAGATATCCTAGATATACCCTAGAGATATGCTAGTTATACCCTAGAGATATCCTAGACATACCCTAGAGATATCCTAGACATACCCTAGTTATACCCTAGAGATATCCTAGACATACCCTAGATATATCCTAGTTATACCCTAGAGATATCCTAGATATACCCTAGAGATATCCTAGATATACCCTAGAGATATGCTAGTTATACCCTAGAGATATCCTAGACATACCCTAGAGATATCCTAGTTATACCCTAGATATATCCTAGACATACCCTAGTTATACCCTAGAGATATCCTAGACATACCCTAGAGATATCCTAGACATACCCTAGTTATACCCTAGAGATATTCTAGATATACCCTAGAGATATCCTAGATATACCCTAGAGATATGCTAGTTATACCCTAGAGATATCCTGGACATACCCTAGAGATATCCTAGTTATACCCTAGATATATCCTAGACATACCCTAGAGATATCCTAGACATACCCTAGAGATATCCTAGACATACCCTAGAGATATCCTAGTTATACCCTAGAAATATCCTAGATATACCCTACAAATATCCTAGAGAATGGACATGGTGCTGACAAACCAAGGATGATAATTGGGGTGCTCCTAGTAATCAAGCGCATGATTAGCAGATCCTGTCATGACAAAGGAAAGTTACTCTATTTAGCCAAACTAATCTACATAATGCATTTTGATGACCTTTGAACATTGCAATACAGGAATGGTAGCCATGTCAAAAAAATGGAGGTAACCTGTTATCTGAAGGCAGCTTATGACATACTATTAATAACAGGCAAATGCTGCAACATATGCAACACTCAAACGCATGAAAAATATATGTAAAAACCCTTGGTCCTTTATGTGTTTACAGCTTTAGCATTCAGTACCCCTTTTGTCATTTCTTCGGGAATAATTGTTGATGAATAATATAATTTCTGAAAGCTTTAAATATATATATATATAATAGCTGTCTGACAGAAGACATATTAAGCAAATATATCTCACTTTAAACAGCTGCAGTAATAAAAACACTGATTGTCTTGTTTCAATGAAGAGTACGAAATCAGTGTAATGAATATCTTCCAGCATGCCCTACTGAGCTGTTTGTATCAACTTACAGACTGCTGATTGAGAAAGGTGAAATTGGAAGACTTAGCCATCTCAGATAAATAACATGAATTTGGCTGTGATGTTGACAATAGGTTTGTGGGAAACTATCAACAAGCTGATGTTCTTTCAGGCTGCTTGAACACCTTTGGAAACAGCAGCCAGCAGTTCATGAATGGTTGATTCTATCTGTGTGGGCTTAGTTGATTTTGTAACAATGTCCTGCATCATGGTGACAAGATCATGTCTAATACATGTCAGGGCAGGGGTCAGTTCAAATTTATTACCCAGGTCCCCATTCCAACCTTGATAGTTGTTGTATTAGGTATTTGTTGAGGCCACCATGATACCTTTCCCCTTACAGTCACTCTAGCAGCATACAGGGAGGCAGTGTGTTGAGTGGGGATGCAGAGGGACATTGTAATGAACAAAACAATCAAACTCTGAACCATGGAAACTATGTAATCAGCACCTTTTTAAATGACTTGATATTTCATATGGTCAGAACCTTCTATCAGTGTTGGTTATGAATCAGCAGAAGTACAGTGACAAGCCCATCCAACTAGCCGGACAGACCAACTGGCCGGACAGACCAACTAGCCGGACAGACCAACTGGCCAGACAGACCAACTAGCGGACAGACCAACTTGCCAGACAGGCCAACTGGCCGGACAGACCAACTAGCCAGACAGACCAACTGGCCAGACAGACCAACTAGCCGGACAGACCAACTGGCCGGACAGACCAACTGCCAGACAGACCAACTGGCGGACAGACCAACTGGCCAGACAGGCCAACTAGCCGGACAGACCAACTGGCCAGACAGACCAACTGGCCGGACAGACCAACTGGCCGGACAGACCAACTAGCGGACAGACCAACTAGCGGACAGACCAACTGGCCGGACTGACCAACTAGCGGACAGACCAACTAGCGGACAGACCAACTAGCGGACAGACCAACTAGCCGGACAGACGAACTAGCGGACAGACCAACTTGCCAGACAGACCAACTGGCCGGACAGACCAACTGGCCAGACAGGCCAACTAGCCGGACAGACCAACTGGCCGGACAGACCAACTGGCGGACAGACCAACTGGCCCTCAGGCAGTACCATACAGATATTGCTGGAATATTGTCTTCGGGCATTACCGTATCACCAATTGGCCATAAGGCAGTGTCTCAACCAGTTGCGCATGACACAGTATTCTTTGGACCAAATGGCCATCGTATTGCTCTGTTCAGACCATTTGGCATTCAGATTATTCTGTTCAGACCGATTGGCAATAAGATTGTTCTGTTCAGATCAACTGCCCATCAGACAGTTTGGACCAAATGGCCATCAGATTGTTCTGTTCAGACCAGATGGCATTCAGATTGTTATGCTCAGTCCAGTTGTCCATGAGTCAGTTCAGTTTGGGCCAAATGGCAATGGGATGATAGACCAACTGGACACCAGTCATTAGTGTTCAGACCTGTAGGTCATGAGACAGTAGCATTCAGACCTACGGACCATCAGACAGTAGAGTTCAGACCAACTGGTTATTAGACAGTAGTGTTCAGACCTGTAGGTAATCAGACAGTAGCGTTCAGACCTATAGACCATCAGACAGTAAAATTCAGACCAACTGGTCATCAGACAGTAGTGTTCAGACCTGTAGGCCATCAGACAGTTCATTACATCTTCACCGGCAAATTAAGGAAACATATTTCATATAAAATATTGTGGAGGAAGTGACATAACTTTTCAACAGGAGTCAACATGAAAGCTACAAAAACAGCACTCAAACATATGGGATACAAGAGTGTACAACCTTAAAATGCACTGTACAAAAATCAACCTGTTTGTTTGCATGGACAAAAAAAACACGATATACAAAAATAGAAAACAAATAAACTCCATCAGCATTTCAAACATTAAATAACAATAACACACACCTCTAATGATGCCATTTGTTTTTCAAAATACGATTCTGTTGACTCCAAAAACTGGACAGCTGTAGGTATTTACTAATTTGACCAGAAAAAGGTAACTGTTAAAAAATTCAAAATATTTTAAGCTACTATCAAGTACAATAATTATAACCTGATGGAAATTGATCTTAAAAAATTCAAAATATAATAAACTATGAATTATACAGAGGAAATACAGAAAGTATATTTGCAATTGTCAAGACAGTTTAATTTTTTTATTTTTATAACCTACCAACTTAAATTTTTGGGGCCAAAGCTCTGTAAACCAAGAGCAAAATTATTCTATATTAAAAAAGTCCTTCTGAAATGGTTGTGGTATCTATGAAAGCAAACACAACAAGAGAACACAAACTGTAGAACACAGCAGATCCAGTAAGTCACAAAGTATCAAATAGCAACATTAACTCGCCAACCCCAAATGCACTGAATCAGACAAGTGGAAATCGGGAAGACTGGATCAATGAACCGATTCATGACTGATATTACATGAGAAGTAGTTGCAGGCGTAACTGTCTCCACCAATCACACACAGCCTCACACAGACATTTTCGGAAATCTACTGTATACTTGGCCTCAAATGCAAATATCAGGAACGATTCCTAACTACTGTCAAATAATTACTAAGAACCAAATTTTGCAACACTGATGCATATTTCTCTGATAACTTACCAACTGTATTGAATAGAAAGGTCTGTTAAAAAAGACCAAAATTTGGGACACAATATTTGTTTTCAGTCCTAAATCAATTAATGTCTCCACAAAAGGGAAGTCATGACAAACTTCGACTTCTGTTATTTATGGGACAACAAACACACACACAATCATAAACCAATCAACTAAAACATCCCTCCCTCAAAAATTTTGATCAGCCAGTTTACTGCATTTTTCATCAGGTATGTCAACCCATTTTCATCCTTGTTCTCAGATATTCGCGCAGTCAAGGTGCCAAAAGAAAAATTTACTTTGACCTACCTCATGAGAGGACACAAACTGAGTTAGCATTGTATCATCAAATGAATCTAGTCCAAAAGTTTGACAACATAAATGAGGTATTTCAACTTTCAAATGTTGGATAAACAATTATTTCATGGGGTATTTATTGTCATCTAAGAACATGTCGTGACACTGCATAGCTGGACCTGGTGCACTGTCTGCTGGCATGATGGTTAACATTCGGTTTTGGAATACTGAGTTTTCATCAATCAAAGTAGAAAAAAAACTGACAATGGACTGATATATCACAATGCTATACTGCATAATTTCTACAATGAAAAGGTGTCGACACTTCAGATCATATCAAACTGGCCACCAGCTAATTTCTTACCAATGGCGAAGGACATTAGTCTTGGGAGAAGACAACAAGTCTTTCTAGATTTTCACAAGTCTTGGAGTAACAGACTAGTGGCCATGTCGATCCCTGATTATCTACTCTATGATGATAGACACTGCAGAAGCAAAATGACGTCTGCTACCTATATCCTGTCCAGATACCGTACTTTGCTTCTGAAAAACAGACATTGTTTTGAAATAGTGTGACCAGTTATTGCCAATTTGAACTATATAATGAAATTTGACAGCTAATATTTCCACCTTGACAATGCAGAATCCACACGTTTCGGGCAGATGATACAGGCTGTGTGTTGATGTACCGAGAATTACTATATTTAAGCCTTGTGCTAAATAATGAAAAATGACCCCCATGTTAATGACATTTTAAAACCATAATTGAGCTTAAATTTGAGAATTGCACATAATATGACAGATTCTCTGCTCTCATGGAATATGTCCGAATACGATATTTTCCTACTTGATAGAAACTTTTTGCATCTTGTACATTTACATGGCCTATTGCTGTCTTCAGTATCTGCCCTGTCTCTGGAGTCCAGGGGAGTTAACTATGAATGTTGTAAATAGTGGCGTTCACCATGTGCTTTACCAAGGGACATCACTCCCGACAAAAGTAATGAAAAGCCTTAATTTAGGTCCATGTAAAACTGGGGAAAAACCTGCTTTTAGGCCCTATGAGCTTAATCTGGTTTAAATACAGGAAATCCCAGTACACAGGAATTTATTGAAACCAGGTCTGAGCCCAATATTCAGTCCCAAGTCAACAGAAAATGTCCTAAAATTCATACAAAATTAGAATTCAGGATTTCTGTAATTTTATGGTTTGTTAGAGGTGACTGCCTTTCACTGAAATCAGCACCGATAAATAAGAACGTTAAATCCTTATTTCGCATCACTGAACAAAAGCTTAAATGCTAATTTTATATCATTGAATAAAATGAAATCTGAAAATATAATGTCATATACCTCAGAGTGTAAAAAGTAAGAAATCTCAATTTTGAAAGAGCAGGGATATTTCCAAATTAGCCTGGCAATGTCACATGAGAAACCCAGATCTACACGAACCATCAATAGAGCAGTATAGTACCACATCTGTTGCCACATGTTCGTACTGTATCACCTGAATAAATAAATGTGTAATAGTGTATAAATATTTACACTCTGACAATACTTAAAATGAAGTAAAATAACACAGATGTCAAATCAAAAGGAATACACGATTATTTAAACAAATATATGTGCAACTGTTTATCATACAAATAACTTTATCCTTCCCCAATAGCTGATGATTACAAGTGTCAATGATTTGTACAACTGAATAAAATCTAACAAACTTGAAATATCCTTCAAAATGTAATAAATGTTTCAACTTAACACAATGTACAATTTGCTGTGTAGCCATGAACTTTGGCTGCAAACATTCACATACCATCACGATATTATCTTGTGCTGTCGTAAAAGACAAGCTTTGTATACAAACATGGCTGATCTTGAACCTGCAGATGATTGTACCAATTCCTAGATGAAAATTACCAGTCAACAAATGATGCCGTTACCATGACAACATTATGGTACATTACCGGTATGTTGCAATGATATCGATATCGCAATTAGGCCTCAAATGAAGCAATACAACCTTGGCTATTAACTATGGCATCAGGACAACTGATCATGGAATGAACACATTTCTGTAAGACAAACATACAGATACATTTTTGGCAATTGTAATTTGCCATGGAGATATTGTGGGACGATTCTGATAATGATTTTGCCATTTAAACTCTGTTGGATAATTCAGTTGCAGGTTCTGTAACAAAGAATTGTTGGCTGATTCTGATAATGTTTTGACGTGAAAACACTGGTGGACGAGTCTGTTGAAGGTTATCCAATGAAGACGCTATTGGCGAATTCTTGGAAAGACTTAGCCTGATTCTGTTGAAAGTTAATTTCAGTTGAGCCGCTGACTTCAGTGCCACAGAGTACAATGTTGGCTGGAGGATGAAGGACGATGGAATCAGTGATGTAGCAACTCTTTAGAAGACGATATGAGAGGTCCATCTATACAGCCTATAACATCCATACGTTAATAAACCTAGCACACTAGCTCGTACACTCCATCGTAGAACTCGGCCCAACACTGACCCTTCAGGCACTCTGAAAATGACAAGAAAATACAGGGGTAAAGACAGTATTAACATGGATAGACATCCAACATTCATTTATTCAACAATCGTGTAAGGCTAAACACTCTCCTCAAAGTATTGCAATTTTAAACAAATGTTGAATGTCCAGTTTTCATCTTATTCATTTATTTCTATTCAAGCACATATTTATATCTTTTATGTTTTTAGTAATGTCATATTTTTATTGTTATTCATTTCTATTTTTTGTTGGACAAATGTGAACCAAAACGAATACCTTTTAAGGTAATAAAGTATTGTCTGTCTGTCTCTTAGGAACCATACAAAACAGTGTGCTTCTGTCCTCTTAAACATCAACAGTCGTCTGAACAGATAGGCTTGTAGCACTTTCAAAGAGTGTTAGTTTACTATTAAACTGATTTTAGCAATATTTTAGCAAAATCACGGCAGGGGAGACCAGAAATGGGCTTCACACATTGTACCCAGGGAATTGAACCGACGAGTGACGAGAGAACACTTTAACCACTAGGTTACTCCATCGCCCCTTCTTTGAAAGACAGGACTTTAAATGTGTTGCAACTCATCTTTTATTTTGAAATGCTGATGTATAAGTTTAGATATTTTGGCTCTAAGGTGACTGAAGACCCACATGAGTATCTCCTGAATGTTGTGCTCCTTGCTCCAGTTGGCCACGATGCCAGGCACGTGACCGATCCCGACAACACCGACCACCACAGTCGGAATATACCCTGAAGTCAGACACATTCAGCATCAGTGACCAACAAACACTCCAATTTATAGAACCTTTATGAAGCTAGAGAAGACGTTCAATATGAGGTGAAAATGGTGTTCAAAATAGGTTGATCTGTTTTCAAATTTAATTCAAACTAACCAACAATTTGTTAATCAACATAATCATGTTTGATGGTTGCTGTTTTCTAACACCACTCAAGAAATTTGATGGCAATCAGTAAATAAATGAGTGAATGAGTGAGTATGGTTTTACGCTGCTTTAAGCAATATTTTTGCAATATCACACAATGTACCCATGTAGGGAATCAAACCCGGTCTTTAGCATGGTGAGTGAATGCTTTAACCACTAGGCTACCCCACCACTCTAGTAAATAAATGAGAAATGTAAGGTAATCTAATGATTGACATTATGAGCATATCAATCTATGCAAAACGGAAACCATGACATGCACCAAGTATGTGAAGCCAGACCATCAGAGCCTGTCAGGCTACTGCAGACCAATTCTAGCCTGTCTGTTCATGTCGGCCATTACCCTGTCAGGCTACTGCAGACCCATTCTAGCCTGTCTGTTCATGTCTGCCATAAAATGATGAAATTCAAACCATGTTCACCAATTAAATGACTTCTTTCAATGACTCTACCAAGTTTACAGGTATCTTTTTTACAAATGGAGAAGCTGAACCTAAGAGGTTCAACTCTTGTATCAGTGGGTTCCAGTTGGCTCCCTAACCTTCAGGTACTTGTTGACACTGAATGGGTCGGGCGGCCATCTTGAGTGAGTGTGCAAGGTACAGATCGCGTTCTTCCACAAAGACTCGGCTAAGGGCAGGGAACTCTCCTGTCATCTCCCTCAACATCTGTTCCAGCAGGTCGCGTTGCTTGCACTTCTCTACATCTTCCTTACTGAAAACACCATAAACAAACAATTAACTAACATAATGGTCCTGGCAGAAGGATGGTGAGTGAGTGAGTGAAAACACCATAAACAAACAATTAACCAACACAATGGTCCTGGCAGAAGGATGGTGAGTGAGTGAGTGAGTTTAGTTTTACGCCACACTCATCAATATTCCAGGTATATGGCAGCGGTCTGTAAATAATCGAGTCTGGACCAGACAATCCAGTGATCAACAGCATGAGCATCGATCTGCGCAATTGGGAACTGATGACTTGTATCAACCAAGTCAGCGAGCCTGACCACCCGATCCCGTTAGTCGCCTCTTACGACAAGAATGGGGTTACTGAAGATCAATTCTAACTCGGACCTTCACGGGTCTCAAAAGGATGGGTGTTGGATGGGCGAGTGCAATCAGTTTAATGATGTCAGGGCTACTTTGATCAGTATTTTGCATTTCGGCTATACATATACAGCCTAATGTGGGGAGCAAAGCCCAAAGAGAGTCATAAGATGCTTATAACTTTTTGAAACAAACTCGCATGGATATGATCCTGGCTAAGAATCATAATCTAATTATGGCAGAGCTAAGGGAAGCAACTCTGTACAGCAAACTGGTTCTAATGTAAAACAAAAGTGACAGTACACCTGGTATATATACCATAGCTCAAGAATGAGAGCTCTTTTGGTGAAGAGTTTTGACAATGTAAGTCTGCTGCAAATACCAATAAGAAGACAAAATCAGCAATATCCCCCACAATGGCAATATACTCTTTATGAATATGTCTACTAGTTATGATTATGTCAAATGTTTTGGCATGTATATAGCAAAGTGGAAGGAGAGTATTGAAAGGTTTTTTAGTTCTGCTCCAGAAAGGAGCACTACTACCAAATTCAGTCTAAGTCAAACTTGTTGCCATGGAAACGCAAAAAATATTTTATTCAGAAATCCAAAAACTACCAAAAGGCACCAGTTCACTGCTAGACCTATCTATATGAAAAGTTTGGTGAAGAAATATTGTACGGTTTTAAAGTTCTGTTCCGGAAAAGAGCATTACCACCAAATTCAGTCGAAGTCAAACTTGTTGCCATGGAAACGCAAAAAATATTTCATTTAGAATTCCAAAACTACCAAAAGGCACCAGTACACCACCAGAATAATCTATGTGCCAAATTTGGTGAAGAAAGAGTGAACAGTTTTAAAGTTCTGCTCCGGAAAAGACAAATGTGCACAGATGGACGGAGGGATATTTTAATACCCTCCCCCGCAAAACGTGTTATCGGGGATAACAACATTGTATGTGTACTACACGTATCAACATACTACTCACAACAACTTATGTCTACTACACATATTGACAACAAAATAAGTCTCCTACACGTACCTGATAGGATCCTTGGATGTGATGAGGTACCAGGCGAGCCTGACCTTCTGCCACAGGGACAGGGCTGCCAAGGCTCTCTTCAGCGTGATCTGTATTGGACGATCTCCTAACTGAAGGCGACACCCAGGCACTCGCCGTGACTGCACACAACACAAGTAAACTTAGAATACTGACATACAGACAAAGAGGAAGACTGACACTGTTGGAGATACATGTGTTAGAGGGAGTAATTATTTTATACAAAGAAATGTCATAGAAGCAATCACACTAAGACATTTCAAAATTTCCATGCTCAGATATTCCATCAAGAAACCATCTTGATGATTTACCATCTTTTAGCATCTCTTTATGGTATGAGGGCTGGTGAGGTGAGGTGAAATTGGGTTTTACGTTGTACTTGAGAATATTTCGCTCATATGACGACGTGCATGCGTGTGTATGTCTATGTGCGGCTGCTTGTACTAGCCCAGACTTAAGCTGGTTTTATAGTGCTAGCTCACTGAGATACCATGATGCAGTTAAGCATGAATACCCCACTCAGACACATTATACTGACTCCCGAGCCGACCAGTCCTTGTTGTACCCATTAATGCCGAGCGCCAGACTGAGACCAACAAGTACCATATTTTAACGTCTTTTGGTATGACGCGACCGGGGATCGAACCCGCGACCTTCCACTTTCCGGGCGGACGCTCTAACCACTGTCATGAGGGCTGGTGGGGTAGCCTAGTGGTGAGTTACATATCCAGGTGATTCAACCACCCAAATGTGCTATCCACTAGACCATGGAAATGATATGATTTTTATTACAATAAGCATCAATGACACACCTCCTGGAATGCTCTGCGGAACTCTCCCCCCCCGGTGCCATACCGAGTTCCTTGGTAAGATGGGCGGACATGCTGAGCAGCAATAAGTGCATAACACCCTGGATCATACCGCTCTGTAACAGGAAAACAGTTACCATGGTTACTGATAAATTTGATCATACCACACTGTAACAGGAAAATGGCAACCTTGCTTGTATATAGACACATGAAATGTAACATTGTATACATCATCAGTATGCCAAGTATTTATGCCTCCTGAACCTTATATGTATTATACATTATGCAGAAACTGATTTACTACACATTTGGAATATTTTGAATCACCAAAGGCACCAGTTAAGGAGTCAGCTGATGTACACAAAGTTTTGTTACACATATTTCGTGAATAATGACTGATATTCCAAAAAAGAAACATGATGAATGGAAAACTATAACTCATTTCTATATCCATGCTATACTTTCTATAGGCAGGGGATAAAAATAATCCTGATAATATTACCAAATATGTAGCAATGAAGTTCTCTGGAAAAAGATTCAACATGTTGAAAGCAGTGTGCAACACAAGATACTAGCCCAAACACAAGGTCTACTACACTATACTTGGCCTGGTAAGTGGTAAGGGCAGCTAAAAGTAAACCCAACAATTTACTGAACCTGTCACTAAGGACTACAGATCAGTGGTGTCTGTACCTGTTTGATTGCCATCCTGATCTTCTCCATGTTGATGTTCTTGGCCTCCTCCAGTAGCGTGGCTTCATCCAGTTCCAGGATGTTGATCCGACTCTTACACAGCTCCACCATCACAAAGTCTGGCTGCGTCGACCGGATCACCTGCAACATGAGTGGATTTGAGGGTTACTTGAAATTTACTTCAGACATGACCTGTAAGACAGCTGGATGACCCCCCAAAATGAAGACTTGGACCTTCACCTTTTGGGTCAAACACACAGATAATCAAATATGCCCCTAACACATGGATAATCAAATATGCCCCTAACACATGGATAATCAAATATGCCCCTAACACACAGATAATCAAATATGCCCCTAACACATAGATAATCAAATATGCCCCTAACACACAGATAATCAAATATGCCCCTAACACACAGATAATCAAATATGCCCCTAACACATGGATAATCAAATATGCCCCTAACACACAGATAATCAAATATGCCCCTAACACACAGATAATCAAATATGCCCCTAACACATGGATAATCAAATATGCCCCTAACACATGGATAATCAAATATGCCCCTAACACACAGAGAATCAAATATGCCCCTAACACATGGATAATCAAATATGCCCCTAACACATGGATAATCAAATATGCCCCTAACACATGGATAATCAAATATGCCCCTAACACACAGATAATCAAATATGCCCCTAACACACAGATAATCAAATATGCCCCTAACACACAGATAATCAAATATGCCCCTAACACACAGGATAATCAAATATGCCCCTAACACATGGATAATCAAATATGCCCCTAACACATGGATAATCAAATCAAATATGCCCCCCTCAACAATGGATGTTCCTCCCAACACAAAGATAATCAAATATGCCCCTGCTACACACATATGGATAATCAAATATGTCCCCCATCAAAAGGATAATATCAAATATGTTCCTCCCCTAACTCACACACACAGGCAGAATACCCCGACAGATGTACCTTTGAGACATCCTCCTGACTCTCCAGACTGAAGTGAGCTGTTCCCACGACATACACCTTGCTGCCATCTAGCGTCTCCAGCGTTGTCACAGTGTCGGGGAGGTCGGGGTTGGAGTCTCGCCCTCTCATGGGGTATGACATCTCATCATTGTCCTCGATGTCTGTCTCCTCCCCACTCTCATCCTCACTCACTTCATCCTCCTCTTCTGTACATGACAAAATGAGGTTACAAAACCTGGTCTTTCTTTCAGTGTCTGTTGTTAAATGTAATGCTACAAAGAGTGACAATAAGATAAAGATGATATCACATCAGGATTTGCTGTATTGTAAGTATATCGGTTCACTGGTTTTCATTCTTTCCACAAATCGGATCACAATACTATTTTTACATGCTCGGTGCATCAGATGATTCCAAATATTGATGTTTATGATGTGTTTAATGTCAAACACCTTTGAAATGTTTTTGTAATTCCAAAAAGATGAGAAGTTAATTCTCAGTTACCTCCCTTATGTGCATGCACATTCCTACAGCGACATCCTACACCGTTACCATGGTTACAGATGTGAAAAACTCAATCAACCAGGTCACTGAGCCTGATCAGCAATAAGTGAGTGAATCCATTCAGGTGGGAATCAACCAGGACTGTATATCTGACTGCCAAGTCTGAGTACAATGGCATATAAAATAAATCTTTACAGTTCCTTTTTCTAACATGACACATTTCTGATGTCCCTGCTGTGGTATTGCTGGTATATTGCTAAAAGGTATGTAAAATTAAATTCACTCAATCGTTCTAACATGAGAAGTCAATAATTTGTTGCACGATGTATAATATATGTTCTCGTATTTGAAGCAAGAGTCTGGGAAGTGAATCATATTGCACAGATCGGGACAGCCCAGCACTGCAGCAACAGCAAAACTGTCCTCCAGGAGCAGCACAGGTATGCAGTTATCATAGCTAATCGTATTGGAATACCTTCAATCTTTGAAAACCAACACACTTTGTCAGTAGGTAATATTATTAGTTACACAGTGTTTTGAAAGGGTGTGTACGGGACTGTAAGACCCTTGTAAATTTCGTATTTCCTGAGGTGCAGAATTTACAAGTGTGTTACAGTCCCGTACACACTTTCAAAACACAGTGTGATGAATTATTACCCTTATGGTCTCTTTATTTAGCATATCTTTAAAAACAGACATTCAATCTTTCAGCAGAATGAGACACAAAACGTTTCGCCATGATTTTTCCTGAATCGCCATAAAGGGAGATAACTCGGGATTGCTCAGTTTATGATAAAAATTATTGGATTTAAGGTTTTGTTAAACAACAAGTCAATTACAGAAACAATTTTTTTTTTTTTATATATCTATTGGCACGAACAAATAAGAAATTATGGCAACAATTCTATTACTCTGTTTATATTCATAATTGTATACGTCAACTCTAAAATTTCGAAGCGATTAGCCGTTTGGCAGCCACATTCCCTTCTAAGGTCAAGGTCATTTGTACAATCTGTATAGAGTGTCACGTGACAGATTTGACGGTGTGTACGGTTCATACACCCTGGCAAATCCGCCAACATGGTTTCGTATGCTTTGGCTGTTGACCAATCAGAATTCGACAAATTTATCTTAAGGGTAATAATCAGGCATAAGTGATTGCTCACCATCTGATAACATCTCTCCCAGTTCTCCATCATCTGGCTGTAACAAAGTGTTACCGTCCCCTGCTGCTGTCTGCCCTGCCCCGGTTTTCTCTACGTCTGTCGGGGTAGGTACTGTTGGGCCTCCCTGCTGTACAGGTATATGTGCACTGTTGTTTGCATCAATGTCTTGTGCATTTGACCTCACATCAGAAGGGTCATCTTTTGGGGGATCACTTGCACCATCTGTCTCTAAACTAACTTCCTTGGACTGTGACTTCTCGCCAGTTTCAGATTTCAATGTAGGCGTGGCAGATTCCATATTTTATCTGTGTACGTTTATTTGCTGAAAAAGTCAACACAGTGGTGATACTAACAACATCAATGAGAGCATTCAGGAAAACAGATTCGGTTACACATACCATGATATACTGATCAAGAGAAGTGAATGACTACAGTTAATGAACTTAATCTGTAATGGTTAGTATATATAAAACCATGATGACTACGGTAGTTGGGAAGATATTTTTCTTAAATTTGTTTGGGGGGGGGAATGATATTGCCCGGAATGCTGAGAAAGGAATAACAATAAAAACAGGACATTATCTGGGCCTGCTGAGAGGCTGATATATCACACATTTTGTACACATGCTGGGGGTCAGCAATTTTGTACACATGTATTGGGGGTCAGCAACTTTGTACATAGGAATAGTAAAAAAATAGGCATAGAAAATATGGCAAGGAGAGGGGGTAATTGATTTTGTATGACATGCAGGTGTGTGTGTTTGGGGGAGCGGGACTTACTTTGTGCATAAAGTTTAGGGGGATCATTAACATTGTACATGCTTCTCGATAAAAATCCTCATCCCCCCCACCTCCCCTTGCCATAAATTTTAAAATTATGAACAGTCCCTAATTCCTGCAGATCTGTAAATAATATCTGTAACATCAAATCCTCTGATTGACATAATGATTAACCTACCTCAATGTGATATGATATGCATGATCTAAGTTAGCAATTCAACCAGCTGATACCTTGATCCCGTTTGCTGCCTCTTGAGATAAGCATGCAAACCAACATTGGCAAGTCTAACCCGGATCTTCACTGGTGAAATTATGGCGTGGAAAGGAATTGGGACAACTGTGTCTGTTAATCGTAGCCGCAAAATACATACGACCAGAATCAATATCATAATCAACAATACAAGATGTTCAAAAACAGGCCTACAAAGCATGTTCCAGAAAATGATGAAAGTTCCTAAGTCGTAAAATAACATGTGACCATATGGTGAGCAGTGGAAGGTCCACTTGACACCTCATGTAATGAATACGACATTCATAATGTCAGTTATTTAACAACTGCAAGTACATTCTAAAGATAAACAAGGTCTAACATACAAAGGTTGTGCGTTCGAAAAAACTCCAGTTTGACCAAATTTTCTCACCATCGATACCTTTCGGTGCAAATCTCCAAATGCACTTCCTGTGTACACATAGTTTGAAACGTCACCCGGTGTTATTTATCTTTCAATTTCCGTTACATACTCCCATAATGTAACAGTATTTTCTAAAAATTACAAATAAACTTGATTTCATGTAAGCTTCTAAAATTATATACATCTGCACAATTGTCTCATTTGCTTAACAATTGTACATTAAACGCGTGGATGAAATAATAATAATTCGTGTGAGAAAAGATCGACATTAATTTCACAGGCAATGTTTTTAGTGTTCACCGTTCACCAAACTGATGACGTTTTACGCAAGTGCTGTCGTGGACGCGAAATTCTTCCTATCTCTTGTGACAGATGATTACATGAAAACATGACGATGTGTACAGCTGTCGCATAACAGGTATAACCAGTCAGTGTTTCCGATGTAACACCTACTCTTAATGGCTTTTAGCACCCTACAGAGCAGGATGTCCGTTTGTAAGTGTACGCTAGAATGACGTGAGTCAGATGTTGATAGCTCTCCATTGCTGTAGCAGACGAAATTTGCGGTTCCGCAGATTTCATCTTTGACATTGCTAGCCGCTTAACTTGATACTGACCGTGAAAGCGCTGAATAATTTCACAAGCAGATTCGTTTCTCAAAAACCTGTATAATTGTTACGAAGCATTTGAAAAAATACATAATTTATTCTTCGACAGTCCAGTTCACTGAACACGGATGTACACATCACAGGCACCGACTTGTTCATCCGATTTGTACAATTGTTCAAAATTATCTGAAAATCGTTTTGTTCCTTATTTTTTTTATCCCTATGATATTCAGTTAATTGCAGGCAGCTGAAATAAGCAAAGGTTTTGTGTTTATACGAAAATGTACAAACACATCCAAGGATAATTCTTATCCAAGTTATGTTGATTGTATGTACTGCATGCAGATATTCTCTAGACTGGACAGTAGATCCAGAGACAGATTACCATGTTGGTCCTGTTCCATAAAGGGACCTTAGTGTTAAGATGATGTAAATTTTGGCTAGAATGCAATTTACCGGGCGCAGCCCTCGCTGCTCCCTTTACGATCCTTAAGGTTAGGGTTTAGGGTAAGGGTATGCCACCCTTTACGATCCTTAAGGTTAGGGTTTAGGGTTAGGCACCCTTTACGATCCTTAAGATTAGGGTTAGGGAACCAGCAGCTCTAATGAATCTGAAAAAGTGCGCCCGGTAAAGTGCAGTACTCCCTAAATTTCAATACATTTGAAATCCACTCACCCAAAGTCGAGTTACTCAGAAACCTTTCCTACTGGAGAATATTTATGTTTAACAAAATAACACATAATATTGATAATATACAAATAATGTTCTGTTTATCTAGATATCCAGTTTTATAATAAGGACTGTGAATTTCAATTACAGAAAACAATGTTTATAACAAACTAGCTTTTAACAACTGATGGAAAGAACAACAGTATTGTGGGTCCTGGCCACTTCCTGGACTAAATGCGCATTTGGTCTAGATGCGTAAAACAAACTATGGTTATAATGATCTAAAATTAGTGAATTTTTTTAATGTAATTTGCTGTAGCAGCAGTGTAAAACAATCATTACTGTGTCCTTCTTGACGATACCTTGTTTTGCAGTCAATATCCTGGCAGCCAGATTCAAAGGAGCAGGAATTGTGTGATCCCAGTGTTAATAAGTTACATGTCTTGATCATTAGTTGCATGCTTGGCAAGGATGTTTCATGTCTGTCCCATCATTATATGTATTAAGTTGTCGAAATGTTTTGCACCTCGGATGTGGCTAATAGTGGCCTGAGTATAAATATAAGTCCAGTCAGTTCAGGCTGTCATTTGATATGTAATTGTGCTTCACTTTAGCTTTTACTTTGGTCAAACTGTAGTATTACCATGCTACTTATCCATAAATTATGATTGTTGTATTTCATTGCAGATTTTACCCTTCTGAAACAAAATGTCCAGTCCAGTAACACTGGACTTTTTATCCACTGAATTCACAGTCAAGCCGATCCTACTGACGTGAAGATGGGGAATATTGAGGCTCATGACTTCGCCCCAGTTAGAGCTGATGAAAGAAAAGAGCTCAACCTGAGCAAGAAGATATCTTATAAGCAGTTCTGTAAAGTAGGTTGATGCATTTTGCTACAATGCTGTGCTACTTTCATGAGCAAATTATAACAATAATAATAATAATGAAGCTCTAGATGAATCTGATGGAGCCATGTGTGGGCTTGCAGTCTCCAAAAGTTTTGACACAGACTCTATATTTAACATTATGGTATGGTTGAATTGAAGTTGGTTGGTTGTTTGGTTTGTTGTTTGATGCTCACACTCAGCAATATTCCAGTTATATGGCAGCAGTTTATAAATAATCGTGTCTGGATCACACAATCCAGTGATCAACAGCATGAGCATCAATATACGCAACTGGAATACAATGATATGTGTCAACCAAGTCATCGAGCCTGACCACTCGATCCTGTTATTTACCTCTTACGACAAGCATGGGTTGCTGAAGATCAATTCTAACACGGATCTTCACAGGTCTATGGTTAAAGTATTACTGAAAGAGGTATAAAGCAATAATCACTGATTTACTGCATGCCATATTGTGCAATATTCTTTTTATCATAAAATTTGATGTGTAGAAATCAAGCCTTAGAACTGTCACTTATAATGAAACTCAATGTCATGTTTCAGCATTTGAAAGGTGAAGCACACGAGTCGATGTTAACAGAACTGCCATGGGGCATACGGGATTCTGTGTCTCTGTACGAGAAGATGAACGTATCCTTCAACGCCATCTCCGAGCTACCACCAGAGTTACCGTTGCGTCTACCGCATCTGTCACATATAGATCTCAGTTACAACAGACTCCAGACATTGCCAGAGAGCTTTGGGCTTCTTTTCCATCTCCGAACTCTGTTGCTTAGTAACAATGTTCTTCGAAGTCTTCCAGAATCTTTTGTACATCTAGTAAAACTGGAATGTATTGATCTGTCTCACAATCAACTTAAGGAGCTACCTGATGAAATGGGGAATATGGAAGCTTTGTCCAAACTCAATGTGTCCAACAACAAATTAAAACTCCTACCATTATCTCTCGGAGCCAGTAAAACATTGACTTTGCTCATAGCAAACGGAAACAAGCTTGAGTCCCCTCCTCAAGCTATTTGCAGTGAGGGGTCAAAAGAGACATTACATTTTCTACGGAAACTTTATAAAGTTTCAATCATTGATGTGCCAAAAAGACCTTCAACTCCACTGAATGTGTTCCCCCGAGTGCGGGGCAACCAGTTGCAGAGTTCTGTGATAAATCCCCATTCTGCCCAGATACAGTACATACAGGAGCAGACCGATACCACCAATACACCTATGCGGATCAAGACTCCTCTGTTGCCCCCGTACGGGGCCTCTGAACTGGATGCCTTCCAACTGAGAGATAGAATTATAGGTAAGGCATCAGGAAAACTCTACACATGATTTACACAGAACAAGCAAATTTAAATGGAAGTAAAATTTTAAGGTTATCCTGCCATTAGTCAGGTCTCCCATCAGTCTGACAGCTTCAGACAACAAACTATATGTCTGATTGTGGTGGCACATGGTCCCCTGCATGGAGCTTAGGTCACAAATCTGGTGAAGTTCAGCAACATTGGGCGTGGAGAGTCCTTGGATGGGTGACTCTGAATGGCAGGTTGACTCCTTAGAGTTTCTAGGACTTCAGTCCTGCCCGACAATGAAGCACATGTAATACATGTGGTCTCACCTTGGGCAAGTGAGTTTGTTCAAAATTGCCTCTGTTCACCCAGCAGAAAATGGGTACCCGGTGGGATAAAATCATGTAACTATAACCCTTTAGTGCCTAACAGGCAGCTTGGGTTATCCTGGGTAATAATAATCAGATTGTTTGGGCGTTTCGATCATGCATTGTGCATGGAGCAATGCACATGATAAATGGACTATTATTATTATTATTGTATAGATAATCTAACTATTACCAGAGACTATATAATCTTGTTATATGGTCTCTGCTATTACTTATATTAGGTGCCTCTCACTAACATATATTGTGAAATAGCTTAGTCCAATTGTTGATGACAAAGAAACAGAAGGAGCATTGATTCATTTACATTTAAATCCACATCAGGTGTGATCTCGATCATACATATTTCAAAATACTCATAATATGTCATAATGTTTTTTCTGAAAATGTGCATGTAATATGTCATTAATACACAATACAAAATGTACATTTTTATAAGTTCCCAAATAAATTTCAGTCCAGTTGTTGAGTGCTATTCTTTAGAGCCAGAATAGTCATAAGCATAACATTTCAACAAAGGGATCAAATAATTCGAATGATGTTTTCTATCATAAGTTTGCATTTTTATCCTTCAAAATTGCATTACATAATTTAAGGCTTTTCTAAAAAAATGTGTTTTGAAATACTATCAATGGCTGAGAAAAATACCCCAGCATAATTAAACTGAGATGTAAACTCATTAACTTCAGACTAAAAGACTTTATAGATATATGCTCTAATAGACCCATCAATCACTATATTCTGCTAGCTTATACTATAGCCTATACTATGCTGTTAATCGGATTCCATTTGCAAATAATAACAAAATAAAAAACCCAAAGAATATTCCTTTGCAATCATAACCTTGATGTACTGGTACTTTGTCATACATAGATCTAGAAATAATCAAAAACCTTTTATTTCATTAAATGTACACCACCTGCCTATATTTCTTACGATAAGTTGAACAAATACATGTAGCTACATAACATGGCATTCTGTTCAACTAATACACAAGCAAATTCAGAATATGGCTGTAAACATTCCACTGCTATCATTTGCATTTATCATATACATGTATACTTGTGATGTTTCCACTCTTTCAAACCTGTTTCAAATTCAAAGATCAGCTTCATTTGAAGGTTGTCCGCTGAAGGTGATATTTCTGGAACTCGCATAACAAGTTAGGAAAATGATTTTTCAACACTCTTAAGTGAAATACCAACTCACTGATCATTAATTTGTTGATGGTTTATTATGGCCATTAACTACAAGTCCCTACCTTCCTGCTTCAGGTGTCATCTATGGTGCTGCAATAGGTGATGCTATCGGCGTGGCAACCAGGTGGATGTCCCCGGATGAGTGTGACTTCTACTACAGCAAAGACAGCATCAGCTACATGGACATCGTTCACGATGAGCATCGTGTTCGATGGAGGAAGGGGGACTGGACTAGCAACTTTGATGTCTTTGTAAGTTTGTCATCTGTATGTGCTCTTTAGGTTTTGCTTCGGTCACTGTATCTCACCTTAATGTTAATTAGTATGGGTTCACATGCTTAAAACAGTGCTTATATAAATGGTTAAGGTGATCTTTGTGACATGATTGACAAGATCACTTGGCCTACGAACAAGTTATGACTGCAATGAGTTTGAAAGTATGATAGGAGAGCATGTTAGGATAGCCCCCAAACATTAATGATATCTTGAAGTAGGTTTTCCAGTTGCTTATACATGTTCATAGAGTAATTATGAACGATCAGCTGTAGAAAGTGAGCAGTTGAACGATTTTATCCAGTCTGTGCCAAATACTTTTTGAGTCCACTAGCCTGCTTTTGTATTTTTGCATTGTTTTAGTAACTGTCTAGTCTTATCATAAGGATAAGATAATGTATCAACTTCATCAGCAATATTTTCACAGATCTCTTAACCTCTCTGTTGTATTATTCCCAAATATAAGAGGTTTCCAGTAACTAGGCTGTGAATAGAGATGACTAAATGTATCTATAGTGAAAGGACGAATATACATGGCGTAGTGGATAACGTAAGGTCACCTGCAGTCTTGAGTAGGAGAGCTGGATTCAGTAATAGTGACAGTCAGATGTGAAGGGGTTTGGTGTTGGGAAGGAACAAATCCCTCATCTACCCACTGCAAACACATTTTGACAGTTCTCCTTTATATTAGAATCAGACTATCGCTGCAGAATTAAGATGTTTTTCCGAGATGCAACACAAAGATAAAATCACTGTACATCAGCAAACATTTTTCTGTATCTAGTGCTATGTTTCAGATGCTTGTGATGGAGTCTGTGTTGTCCTGGGGCGGAGTTGTGGATGAACTGGACTTTGCCAAAAAGCTGCGGGACTGGTCAAAGAAAGGCTTCCCTGAGCTAGGAGACTCTGAGGGTGTGGTCCTCAGTGAAACTGTCCAGAAAGTAGGTTCAAGTTCTATTTCTTTCATATTGTGTGAAGGGTACCCATTTTGTCAAATGACCAACTGAACTGCCTGATAAATAATCACTTTTTCATTGCTGTTAACTCAAGACCCTTAGTCTCTGACTAATATTAATATGTTGAAGAACATAAAAGTTTAGGTAGTCATGCTGCTAACATTGTATTGTGGAGTGAATATTGCCATATTTTTTTTTTAAATCGGCCCTCAGCTATACTTAAGCTTTGGTAATAGTCCTTAAATACCTGAGTGTTGACCAGACAAGATCCCAGTGGATGACATCATGAGCATTGAATAAAGAGATGGCATATATCACCAAAGTCAGTGAGCCTTACAACCCAGTTCTGTTTGTCACCTCTTATGACAAGCACAGGTTGATGAAGACCAGTTCTAACCCAGATCTTCAGAGATGAACAGGGTCTGGTTTAACAGATTCTTTTGATGATTTGAGAATGAACGCTAACTGAAAACATTATGTATCAGATCCTGAAACACAAAGCGTTTGTGGAGGACCCTCATGGTACGGCTGTCAGGATACTGACTGAGGAACTGCCTGTGGAGAATGGGTTTGACTTCAGTGACACGGAGAGCCTGTTTGACGAGGATGTGTGGAAACAACAGCCACCCAGACAAGCCAACCCTGATCTCCGCAGCTTCAGTACGGCCTCCGTCAGCGTGTGTGACCACTTTGGTACAGACAATGGTGCTATTATCAGGACAGCTATCCTTGGTATGAACATGTCTAATGATTTGGTTTGGTTTGTTGTTGTATGTCACATTCAGCAATATTCCCGGCTATATGGTGGCGGTCTGTAAATAATCACATCTGGACCAGACAGTCCACTGATCAACAGCATGAGCACCAATCTACACAATTGGGATACATTCTGCCATGCCTTGGTGATGTAGCTGCTTTAAAATTTACATTTGTTTACTGTAAAATTTACATTCTTGTTCCCACCAATCATTTGAATTTCCTTGAAAGCTTCTTGGCATCCACATTGAAAATTACTTTCTGTGGCTATTACTCAACAATTTGTGTTTAAAATTGAATTAAATGTGGTGCAAGTACTTTTACTGGGGTTCCACATATATTTAAAATTCTGACCTTGATTTGACCATTGCATTTTGACCATACTGAACTCTGATACTTCTTATGTTCATTTGGGCGGTGGGGTAGCCTAGTGGTTAAAGCGTTGGCTCGTCACGCCGAAGACCCGGGTTCGAATCCCCACATGGGTACATTGTGTGAAGCCCATTTCTGGTGTCCCCCGCCGTGAAGTTGCTGGAATATTGCTAAAAGCGGCGTAAAACCAAACTCACTCACTCACTCTTATGTTCATTACTCAGCAATATGGTGATTTTAGCAATAAAGACAATTATCATCATGCACTATTTCTATACTGGCTAGATTGTCTGAATTGTCAGCTGCTAGATCCAGCACTGTCCTTTTCTGTCAGTGAATTATCTAATTAGGTATGTAAATAAATTGCATAATCACTGCTGAAATGTAAATGGGTTTGGTTTTCTTTGACTTCAGTAATCTCTTGAAAGACTGACCCCAAAGTATTATTGTTGTTTTGCATTACGTTGTTTACTGTGATAGTTTCGGTGTGATAAATAGTTTAATAATGATCTCATTGGAATAAGTGTGGATCAACAGTATAAAGTTGAGGAAAGGGGAAACATTGAAACAAAGAGAGAAGGGGATTGCACAAATTTAAGACAACTAAATGGAGGACCAAAAAACATTATATTAACTTCTCAAATAATTTGTTCATCATTTGAACATTATTTAGGGACTGGTCAGTTCTTGTAGGGTGGGCATGGATCATGAAAATGATCTTACATTGACAGGGAGGTGTCATCAAAATATGATACAGTCCTAACACTGATCACTCTGCCCTATCTACCCTATAATTACAAGTCCATTATGAGTGTGTCAAATGTCAGCTTCAATTATTCCTAGGTGTCCCGTTCTTCCACAACCTGGGGGAGGTGACGGAGAACGCTGTCAGAATCTGCCGAGCCACACATTCAGACAGTCGATGTGTGGCCAGCTGTGTCGTCATCTCTGTCGTCATAGCAATGCTGTTACAGGTCAGTTTTGTTACAAGGGATCCTCCTTTTGGGATTCATGTGTTAGACAGGTCTCTAGCAACTTATGTTGGTAGTAAGAGGCAGTCAAATGGATTGGGTGGTCAAGCTTACTGACGTGAATATTTACATGTCACCGTACCCTGAAGGTGTGACTTGATGCTCACAATATTTGTCACTGGATTGTTTGGTTCAGACTTTGGTGTAAACATTGAAAAACTATACATGAAGCCCTTGTTGAAGATAGGTCTTAATACAAGAAACTCCTTCTTACAGGTAAGAGTGAGTGAGTTAAATCTGCAATGTTTCATCCAAATATCGAGGTAAAGGCATGTCTTTAAGTAAGGACATTTTACTGTCATGTTGGACAGGATGGGTTCTGTATGAACTTTTCCGTAATTGTCTTTCTCCCTGCGTTCTTCCTTAGATTTTTTGTTTGTTTGTTCTTTAATGCCATACTCAGCAATATTCCAGCTAAAAGGTGGCAGCCTATAAATAATCTAGTCTGGATCTGACAACCCAGTGATCAACATCATGATCATCGATGAACACAATTTGGATATGATGACATGTATCAACCAAGTTACCAAACCTTACCATACGATCCTTAAAAGTGATTAATGAAATTATAACAATGAGATTATGAGAACTTTAAGTGGACAAGGTTTGTGTGGATTTGAATGTGCACTGCAAAACACCTTTCTTTTTAGCTGTGATTGGGATTGAATTTTATTAACCTGTTGTGTTGAAATTCAGGGGAGGCAACTCGAGCCAAAGGATATTCTGGCCCAGGCGAGTAAATGTGGCCTACAGTATCTGTCGGATGATGAACTCAGAGACGAGATGATGACACAGATCAATATATCAGACATAGGAAGGTGGGTGTTATCTTAATATTGTATGGGTTTGTTAAATGGTGATGGGTTCAGTTTGGGTATTGTTTAAACAATATTTGACACAGTGCCTGCAGTATTCCCCATATCAATGTGCGATATAGCAGCTTGGCAGTTCACTTCAAATGGTGGACGTGTTATGTAAATACATGTACCTGTTGAGGATGTACCCAGAGTGTGCACTATGGTTTTTTATGTTTATTATTTATTTATTTATATATATATATATTTATTTATTTATAGCGCCAATATCCAGATCACCTGCTCAAAGCTGCCTTGTTTTTTTCAGTCTCAAATGGCACAATGTATTATCAATCTATGAATGTTTGTTACTCCATTAACATATAAACATTGAAGTCCTTTTAAATATGTCAACATTAATAACTTCGAACACCACAGACATCAATATGACATCAGTAATACCAGACAGACATACAACAAAATATACAGACACCATTAGATTGGGGTAGAGGTAATGTTTTCAAGATGGTTGTAACACAGTAAATTACAGTTATACCAAATTCAAAGAGACCACTTAGTTTAGTGTGTTATAACCATAGTTTGGTATACACATTTCAACTAAAATTTACAGCAAGAAGCCACGGCCCAAAATTCAGTTTGTTATGTCTGTCGGTTAATTATATTCTTTATTGACATAGTTTTCTTTAGGTGCTTGCCAGCTGCTGGGAGCGATGTTACTGGGAGAATAAATAACTGACCTTGACATTGTCAGCTGTATGTTGTTTTAAATTTCTATTGTATTGATTAATATCAGCACGCATAAACCTGGTTGAATACAGTCACAATACTATGGCATTAGTAGGAGATAGTATTGCAGTGATATCGCAATAGTGAAAGTAGCAATAGTAGTCACCCCTTCATACAATTGTTTTAAAGGTCACATGCAACATAAAACACAACTTTGCAGATTTTGATACCTTTCGGTATGGACTTACCAAAACAAATCATCAAAATGCAAATTAAACTTATACAGTTGAAAAATGAACGCGATATACACACACAATGAGCCGTGAGGGCATCTACAAATGAACCAGCCGTTACACTTGAGTGCACACCCACCCGCTCTGACTGGGTTCGGTATCCCGGGTGCTTCGTTTCGAGGGAAGTAAACCCAAGTACAAAATATTGCACTTTTGATTTACGATTGTACGCTTATAATTTTGTTTATATGTTTTTTTCATAATCAGCAATGTATGTCATGAATAAGTGATAATTGTGTTTTAATTATGTTTGATTTTTTGGTTGCATGTGACCTTTAACTGTTTGACTCAATGGATATGCTATCTCCTATTTAGAAAGTTTTGGAAAACAAAATAAAACAAAGATATCTCATCTGAGATATTTCTCTGTCTGAGAAGACAAATAATTAAAGTCTGGCCCTTGTATATATCATGATGATAATGTGAATTTATTTAGTCCATATTTGCTTTGTTTCCTTGAATTATTCATTGTAGGAGAACCATGATCCGATATTTTTATCTAACATTATTCATATGGAGAAAACAGTACACACTCAGTAATGGCTCTTGAAAGTTTCTATTACAGCTACTTCATGTTTGCATACATTTTGTCTGGCCATATAGTATGGGTGTTATTTGCCTTTCACTCAAGGTAGAGGCCCATGCTATATTAGTCTATACTTACAGTAAGTTCTCAGTTCCTGCTGGCCTCTGACAGGAGGAGGGTTAGCACTGATACTATGTTAGACCTTGTCCTTGAAACTGTGAAACTTTACACTCATTTCTCGCATACATGGAAACACAATTAAGGTAATGCTCATCGTGAATTATTCATTATCTGTTAGCAGCTTACCTGTAAGCTCTTGATATGGCTTGGTTCTATAGTAGAGCACAGTGCTATTTGGACAGTATTATTTTGTAGAGGTGCCAAGAATCTGATATGGTATTTGGCAAATTGATATGCAGGACAATCACTTTTGACATACCGGTATATATATTTACTGAATGGCATGAGTATTATGGTAAGAAACTTAAAAACTTATGCAAAATATTTTTTGAATAAGTCATGCTATTTTACTAACACTAATAAAATGAGGTCAAAGTGGTAGATTTAATAGAAATGGAACATTTTATAGAGATATCACTGTACATATATTACTTAAGGCTGTAATAATGCTGAATGGGAGCAGGATGGTGCTTGACTATGTAAAATACCAAACTGTTTGCAATCAAACTTGTTCAACTGTGATCATTTTGATCAGAACTGTCTACCAAGAGGGATTAATGTTATTACTTTGTTTAAGAGGAGTAACTTTCTGAAGTAATTGGTTGTTGTGCTGAAGTCCCAGGTGTAATTCCATGGGTCCAGTATATCATGCCCACTGATGGTGTCACCATCATGATATTTCTGGAACATTGCTAATTCAGTTTCAGTTTCAGCAAACATGAGGAAACTTTGTTATAAAAGTATCTGCAAGGGTAGTCGAATGTTGTAGTGGTTAATATTCATCTGTGATATCTTGCAGCCTGAAGACAAATGAGTCAAACAGAATGAGCCACACCTACAAGCCTCTAGCAGCAGCCATGTTGGCTCTTCACACACAAGACAGTTACAGGTAAGAGGGTGGGAGAGCATGCTGTTTTATGCCACACTACACTATGGCAACATGTAGAGAATGGATGATCAAAGCTTGAGAAAATGTCGAGACCATCTGTCTCTGTAAAAAGCTTCTTGTTAGTATATTGATTTTTAATATTGTCATTGTTGATACATTCTCCTCTCTCATTCTCTCTTTTGGTGGGGGCGGTGGGGTAGGCTAGTGGTTAAAGTGTTTGCTCGTCACGCCCAAGACCCAGGTTCGATTCGATACAATGTGTGAAGCCCATTTCTAGTGGTCCCAGCTGAATATTGCTGAATATTGCTAAATATTGCTAAACATTGCTAAAAGCGGAGTAAAACTAAACTCACTCACTCACTCTCTCTTTGGGTTTCTGAAGCTGAATATTTTTTTGTGTCCAAGCTATGGGTACCTTTTGATCTCAAGTAATATCCCATAAAATCAACCTGAATGACATGTTATGTTCATAATTTTACAGTGTTTGTTGCATTTTGACTATGAATATTTTCAAATGTACCTTTAATGTGTACATCTGCAGTTTGAGAACTGATTACTCTGGTCACAGTAGCATAACCTTTTTACTGTTAAATTTCATGTTGAAATTTTGGAGCGTTCTTACAATATACCTGTAGAATGTATCAATGTGCAACTTTGTACAAATATGTAGCAATATATATACTCATGGAAACAAATAAGGGAACGCATGAAATTACAGGTGTTCCTTTATTCTTTTCCAGCTTTCTTCACAAGGTATGTATTGCACTGTGGGTGAAATTCTGGAAATAGATAAAAGAACACTTGTACTTTCATGTGTTCCCTTATTTGTTTCCATGAGTATATAAAGAGAAAATGAAAAAATATCATCAGACTGGACCCTTCTTTAAGACACCATGATTCATACACAATAAGACAGTTGCTAAAGACCTAAACATAGCCATAACTGTGCTGAACTTGTCTATTCAGGGAGTTTGTGATGAAGCTGATTCACGAGGCCGGTGACAGCAACAGCAACACCTGTGTGGCAGGGGCGGTGCTAGGGGGGAGGGTGGGCTACTCTCACCTCCCAGCTGACTGGATACAGGGGCTACGAAAGAAACAGACCAACTGGCTCAACACCAAGATCAACGCACTGCTGGACATGATGGGGATTCCATGATTTGTCACTTACATTGTTTACCTCAAAGACAAACTTCATTCTCATTAATGAAACACTGTTAATCTGGCCAGCCAGTCGAGGTTCTGTGAAGAGTTGTGGCCCTTACATGTGCCAGAATCAAGTTATTGTGATTCATTATGAACGGTGAAACCAGTGTAGGTGTTGTGAAGAGTTGTGGCCCTTACATGTGTCAGAATCCAGTTATTGTGATTCATTATGAACGGTGAAGCACTGTTGACCTGGACAGCCAGTGGAGGTGCTGTGAAGAGTTGTTTCCCTTATGTGTGCAAGAATCCATTGATTGTGATGCATTATGAACAGTGAAGCCCTGTTAACCTACACAGCCAGTGGGGCGGTGGGGTAGCCTAGTGGTTAAAGCGTTGGCTCGTCACCCTGAAGACCCGGGTTCGAATCCCCACATGGGTACAATGTGTGAAGCCCATTTCTGGTGTACCCCACCGTGATGTTGCTGGAATATTGCTAAAAGTGGTGTAAAACCAAACTCAGTCAGTCAGTAGACAGCCAGTGCAGGTGCTGTGAAGAGTTATGTCCCTTATATGTGCCAGAATCCAGGGATTGTGAGTTCCATTCCTAGCTTCCTTGATTATAATGGCCTGCCAAAACCATCAATGTGATCACAGATAAGCATCTAAGAAGTCAAAGACATCACTTTGGACTCTTTATAGATGCTTATTACTGCATTGCTGTTCAAAGAGGAATTTGAGCCAACTGACTCACTCCGTATATCTGATGGTACACTTCCAGGAATATAGTCTGGATTAACAAATTCCTGGAAGGTGGAATCTTAGGTATGGATGTCCTGTTTTTATATGTCACTTTTCCAGTCACTTACAATCTGGAAAGGAGTTTTTGGATTACAAGGTCCAGTTTTCCAGGGTTTCTCTGCATATCAGCTTCACATGCATATGTGGATGTAACAAAAATATGATGTTATTTTCAGCAAGCCTATTAACTGAGTCACCAAAGTGTGGTGTTTTGTACAAAGACAGTATTCAGGACAAACACAGGAACAGGGTTATTGCAAAATCAAACCAAGAAGGTCAGTCACAGTCAGAATAGCAGACAGAAGTCATAGTCAGAATCCCAGACAGAAGTCACAGTCGGAAGTCACAGTACAGTTTGTATCATGTCAGTCTGTGATGGCCAGTGATGTGCTAGGACCAGATCGTTTAGAATGCCTATAGTGTCTATACATGCCTTGTTTTAGGTTTCCAGGAATCACTTGCAAAATGAGTTTTTAGCCCAAAATCTTAACCATAATGCTTTGACTTATGACCATCTTACAGTTACGATTAATTTGTTTGAATGGGTTGTTGTTTCTGATAGTTCGTTTTTTTCATTTTCCAAATCTTGCTGACAACGGGATTGGGTTATGAATAAGTTGGTTAAAATTTCAGCTTGCATCCACATTTTGCAGACAGTCTAAGTGGACACAACATGTTGTGCCCCCATGGCATAGATCATTGCTTGTTCCTGCAGGTACTGGTCAAAACTATTCACAGGGTGTGATATACCTGGCATATTGCTGCAGCCATATACAACATTTACACTCTTTCAGCAAAGGATGTATTTCTCCAGTAGATGTTTTTTCAAATATATTTTTGTGTATTTTATGTTTTTGTTGTTTATTTTGTGTGTGTGCTTGCATGTGTGAGTGGGCACAGCTTTGGATTGTATTAGACATAGAAGTCAATATTTTTGTTTTCAATTCATCTTTTGTTTTTGGTATATACCAGGGAAGACAAATCCTGTATGTGTTGAGTAAATGTTTACCGAGAGATGTAGGGAATAGAGTTGTTACTGGGTTTGCCTGTGTTACATTCTTGTTATATGTTACCAGAAAGTGGCAATCATGAAGATAATAGGGTAACACAAGCTGTCTGCTTGTGGTACTAGTCTATGCAGTGCAGAGTTGTCCTGGTGGGATGTCACATACATATGACCATTGGATCGAATCCCAGGATTGTCCTCATTGTTCCTGGGTTGGTAAGCATCATACCATGTTGGATTCACTAAGGTTGTGCAAGACAAATATCTACATCTCTAGCAGCTCTGGGATAACTGAAATACTAGTTGAAGTAGGGTTAAACCAACTTAACTCACTCAGCAATACAGTCTATCGTGGTTACCTGCAATACTAAGTGGGACAATACTCTCTAATGACATCATGTCAACACATGAACCAGTAGCTGAAACATGTGAACAGCTGGGTGGTTGCTCGAGGTAGTGAAACCTTGACACCTCAATGACCATTGAAAATACGTAAATTGAAAAGAGTTGTGATTGTGTTAGAATAAACCAAGAAAGTTTCACAAACATTGAATATTCATCTGTTTACTGAAACTTATGTTTTCCAAAAGTATGATTTAGTGTTAGTTTGTTTTGTGTGAAAATTAATAAAATTTTGTTTGGGACTAAAATGGATTTTTACATGTTGAGACATTTGTGGACATTATTGATGGATCAGAACAGAGTTTATTTCAGAGACTTGGGTTCCTCGACCCCCTCATCTACAGTATAAATGATAAATATATAATGTGCACAGAGTATGAGGCAGGACATGAATTATTTGCGATACATACATTCTTTTAATTTTGCTGAGAACAAAGAGTATTTTTATCAGTAGACTGCAACAGCTTTATAAGTTTGTTTTGATGGACACTCCCAAAAATAACAACTTGTATATTTTGACTCTATGAACATCATACTTTTTACACACACAAATAAAGTGAAATTCATCTTCAATTACAGAAATGCCATGTTCATTACTAAATTCATACAATCTAACATTTCTATGAATATTTAAACAGCGACCTAATTCAATTTTTAATTTATGAGATGATGTTGTTAGACATGTCATATAAAACGAGATACATGGTATTAGATAGTTAAGATATGTTTCATAGAATAAATTGTTTAATATCATTATGCAAAGCAAGTTTAGTACGTTGGACAAAATCACTTTTCCATTTCTGTACATATTCATAAATCATTCGTTGTTTAAACACTTTACAAAATTAGTTTGCATCAGAACAATCAGGAAACAGCCTTACAAAACCAAAACCATGTTTAAATAAAAAAGATTTAACAAAATTAACCCTTAATTTAATTTAATTTGATTTAATTTGACCCAGTTTTTAACTCCTCTAATGCAACATTCTAGCATGATGTCATAACAAATTTTCAAGACATGATTATTTGAAAGTTGTAACTTGAACCAGTACTTTATAACTCTGGCAAATCTGTTGATATATAATGGATATCTTCCCAATTCCCCATAGACAGCAGAAATTGTTGATTTTCAGTGCACTTTCAGAATTCATTTTAAGAACTTGAGGTGGATGTGTTCAATTTCATTAGCGAATGTTGTTTCTCATACTTCACAGCCATAGTTCATGGTGCTTGAGACAAAAGCATTGGCCTAGCTTGTCCATCGTTAAATGATGAATGTTTCCAGGCGTTGGCATTGCCGATTTTAAATGTTGTTTATCTATGACAAACATTGTTGGTACTTCCAAGGTTTGTATGCACTATGTTCCTCTCACCTGTGAATAAGTCCACTCTCTGTGTAATAGTGATATATATCTATTTCTAGCCAGCCTACAAAGTGAGTTGTGTAATAGGTACCAAAGTCAGATTTAGCATTGCACAGAGTTAACTGTGCATGAAATATGTGCGATTCTACATTTGGCTGGAGCAGAGATGGCCAAGTTGCCTGAGGTGGCAGAATTCTCTTTGCAGCGTTGTGTCGCTTTGCATGCAGGAAACCGTTGGGTTTCGAATCCCAGGTTTGCATTTGTCCCAGTTATTTCCATGTTATTTCCCAGTTATTTCTATGGTTTCACTGAAGACCCATCACTTCCATGTTAAGCTGCCATGTTGTGATATAACTCTCACTCACTCACTCACTCACTCACTCACTCACTCACTCACTCACTCACTCACTCACTCACTCACTCACTCACTCACTCACTCACTCACTCACTCACTCACTCACTCACTCACTCACTCACTCACTCACTCACTCACTCACTGACTTTCAAAATATTGTGTAGAGTTTGACAGCAATCTTTTGTACATGTTGCACAGAAATACTTGTCCCTGGTATGAAGACATAGTGAACCTATCCAATCAGGTGTAATGAAGGACATGGTGTATACAAACCTGTATTGATGAAACATATCCATTAGATATTGGATTATTTGAGGTTGTGCATCAAGTTTCCACCTTATGTATTGATAAGGACCAGTTGCTGTTTATCAAATCTTGTAGCCATTGTTGCAGGCATGCCTTGGTTAAGGCAAATGTGTCTGCTTTGTTGCTTTTTTGTATTGGGTACTTTTTGTTTTGTGTGAGTGTGTGTGTGTGTAAATATATTGATTGTTACAATGTGTGTTGAATGCCTTTGTGTGCTGTTACAGTTATTTGCCAAAGGAAGTTCTTGACTGAATACCTGTCTCTTACTAAGCTAATAATTCTTCTGTATAGAAAACATAGAATATTATGACTGTGATAAATGATGCTTAAACCAAGAAAAATGGTTTCATTAGGTTGATTTGGGAAATCCTGTAAGGTATTTCCATAAAATATTTACTATTTTATTTTGATTTCTTCTGACGAATGGTACTATGTGGTTCCATGTAATGCTAGTTTCTCCATGTCTCTGAGTTAAGTTATAGTGGACTCTAAGTCTTGTTAAAGGGGCATGTTCTGTGTGGTAAAGGAGAGGATGTTCACTTCCTTACTGTTATGATATCAATGCCTTGAATATAAAACTCAAGACTGATTTGAAGACTGAAACATTTCCATGTTTTGTTACATCTGTACATGTGAAATATGTTTGTAAATTTTACATGCAGATAGAGCTAAACTATTGCAGTGCCATATTCCTTCATTATTATGTAATGAACCTTAACATCTTGAAGAGGTAGGTTTATATCATGCTGATTATGTTGAGTAATGCTGGAGAGCCTGAAAATCATAAACATATATTCATGGAAAGAAATAGAGGAACTGTTGTAAATAATAGCAATAATTTGGCACACATCATCTTTTTCCCCTATCATGAAGTTGTCCAGATTCCATTTCACAGGGCTAAACATGTAACTATATTCAACTCAGTAAAATTGTTTTCAGATAAGAGTTAGTTGATAAGCCATAGAAAGATATTACTTCGTGTCCTCAAGTATGTCCTTCTTCCAAAAGCCAGAGACCCATGCTTATATGGCGGACTTGTCTCAGTGAAACAATATATCAGATGCTCCACTATGACATCATGTTTTGTCCACAGCTAAAGATTTCACTTCTACGCAATTCATACTATATGAGGCTCAGAACTGTGTCAGTCAACTGTTATGTGATACAGTTTACAGTTGTAACCATTAATCAGCAAATATTTGACATTAATGTGTTGC